ACCACAGCACAAACCAAGGGGGGGCGCCAACCCAGACAGGAAGATCACGTCAGTAACTCAACCCACTCAAGTGACGCACCCCTCCCAGGGACGGCATGAAAGAGCACCAGCAAGCCAGTGACTCAGCCCCTGCAACAGGGTTAGAGGCAGAGAACCCCAGTGGAGAGGGGAACCGGCCTGGCAGAGACAGCAAGGGCTGTTCGTTGCTCCAGAGCCTTTCCGTTCACCTTCACACTCCTGGGCCAGACTACACTCAATCATATGACCTACTGAAGAGATAAGTCTTCAGTAAAGACTTAAAGGTTGAGACCGAGTCTGCGTCTCTCACATGGGTAGGCAGACTGTTCCATAAAAATGGAGATCTATAGGAGAAAGCCCTGCCTCCCGCTGTTTGCTTAGAAATTCTAGGGACAATTAGGAGGCCTGCGTCTTGTGACCGTAGCGTACGTATTGGTATGTACGGCAGGACCAACTCGGAAAGATAGGTAGGAGCAAGCCCATGTAACGCTTTATAGGTTAACAGTAAAACCTTGAAATCAGCCCTTGCCTTAACAGGAAGCCAGTGTAGGGAAGCTAGCACTGGAGTAATATGATCAAATTTCTTGGTTCTAGTCAGGATTCAAAACTTCTGTCATTCTCAAAACTTTTGACCATGACTGTATGTAGTTCGGTCCTTGAGCTGTTCTTGTCTATTAATGTTCTGTTTTATGTAATGTTTCATGTTTTGTGTGGACCCCAGGAAAAGTAGCTGCTGCTTTTGCAACAGCTAATGGGGATCCTAATAAAATACAAAATACATAGAATATTGCAGCATAGATACTGGAGGCTGAAATCAGGGTCCAGAGTAACGCCGAGGTCCTTCACAGTTTTCTTTGAGACGACTGTACAACCATCAATATTAATTGTCAGATCCAACAGCAGATCTCTTAATTTCTTGGGACCTAGAACTAGCATCTTTGTTTTGTCTGAGTTTAAAAGTAAAAAGATTGCCACCATCCACTTCCTTATGTCTGAAACAGAGGCTTCCAGGGTAGGCAACTTTGTGGCTTCACCATGTTTCATCGAAATGTACAGCTGTGTGTTGTCTGCATAGCAGTGAAAGTTGACATTGTGTTTCCGAATTACATAACCAAGAGGTAGAATATATTGTGAGAACAATAGTGGTCCTTAAACAGAACCTAGAGGAATACCAAAACGTACAATTGATTTGTCAGAGGACAAACCATCCACAGAGACAAACTGATATCTTTCCGACAGATCAGATCTAAACCAGGCAAGAACTTGTCCGTGTAGACCAATTTGGGTTTCCAATCTATCCAAAATAAATGTGTGATCGATGGTGTCAAAAGCAGCAATAAGGTCTAGGAGCACGAGAACAGATGCAGAGCCTTGGTCTGACACCATTAAAAGGTCATTTACCACCTTCACGGGTGCAGTCTCAGTGCTATGAGGGGGTCTAAAACCAGACTGAAGCGTTTTGTATACATCATTTCTCTTCAGGAAGGCAGTGAGTTGCTGTGCAACAGCTTTTTCAATTTTTATTGAGAGGAATGGGAGGTTCGATATAGGTCGACAGTTTTTTACATTTTCCGGGTCAATGTTTGGCTTTTTCAAGAGAAGCTTTATTACTAACACTTTTAGTGAGTTTGGTACACATCCAGAGGATAGGGAGCCATTTATTATGTTCAACATAGGAGGGCCAAGCACAGGAAGTAGCTCTTTCAGTCATTTAGTTGGAATAGGGTTCAGTATGCAGCTTGAAGGTTTAGAGACCATGACTATTTTCATGAATGTTTCAAGAGATACAGGATTCAATAACCTGAGTGTCTCTATTGATCCTAGGTCCTGGCAGTTCTGTGCAGACTCAGGACAACTGAGCTTTGGAGAAATTCGCAGATTCAAATAGGAGTCCGTAATTTGCTTTCTAATGATCATGATCTTTTCGTCGAAGAAGAAGTTCATGAATTCATCAATGCTGAAGTGAAAGCCATCCTCTCTTGGGGAATGCTGCTTTTTAGTTAGCTTTGCGACAGTATATATATTTTTTGATTGTTCTTATTTAGGATGATCGAGCAGCAGTGAGGGCTCTTCGATATTGCATGGTACTGTCTTTCCAAGCTGGTCGGAAGACTTCCAGTTTGGTGGAGCGCCATTTCCGTTTCAATTTTCTGGAAGCTTGCTTCATGGCTCAGGTATTTTTTGTATACCAGAGAGCTCATTTCTTGTGACAAATGTTTTTTGTTTTTAAGGGTACGACTTCATCTAGGGTTTTACGCAAGGTTAAATTTAGATCCTCAGTTAGGTGGTTAACCAATTTTGTACTCCGACGTCCTTGGGTAAGTGGAGGGAGTCTGGAAGGGCATCTAGGAATCTTTGGGTTGTCAGAGAATTTATACACAGCTTTTGATGATCCTTGGTTGGGGTCTGAGCAGATTATTTTGTTGCGATTGCAAACGTAATAAGATGGTGGTCAGATAGTCCAAGATTATGAGGAAAAACATTTAGATCCACAATATTTATTCCACCGGACAAAACTAGATTCAGGGTATGACTGTGGCAATGAGTAGGTCCGGAGACATGTTGGACAAAACCCACTGAGTCGATGATGGCTCCGAAAGCCTTTTGGAGTGGGTCTGTGGACTTTTCCATGTGAATTTTGAAGTCACCAAAAATGTGAATATTATCTGCCATGACTACAAGGTCCGATAGGAATTCAGGGAACTCAGTGAGGAACGCTGTATACGGCCCAGGAGGCCTGTAAACAGTAGCTATAAAAAGTGATTGAGTAGGCTGCATAGATTTAATGACTAGAAGCTCAAAAGACGAAAACGCAGTCATTTTTGCATTTTTTTATTAACCAGTCTGTACCATGGATGACAGAGGAACATCAGTATCTTCCTGGGTCCACTCCTCACACAGTAAGTACCTCTACATACCATACTATCTACACTGGTTCTCTTTTTAAATCAATACATTTTATTTCAAATGTACTTATCATTAATTTACAGTTTACTCCACCCCAGCCTGTGCAGGCAGACAGCCCGAGTTTCTGGGAGCGCAAGAAGTACTGGAGGTACGAGCTCAGAAACAAAGCCATGATCCTCTGCCACAGCCAGCACCTGCCTGAGCTGGAGCAACTCTGCCTGGCCGACTGGCACATTGAGGTGGAGCGCAGGGTTCACTTTTACAGTGTGGGAGTGAGAGAGACCCTGGGCAGACTGACCAGAGACATCAGAGAGTGAGCAGGAGCAGAAGAGAAAGGCTTGGGCGTGGGAGGACTGAATATTTTTTTGTTTTAATATTACTCCATGGAAAATGGATGAAATAGATGAAAATGGAATGGAGCCGGAGGGGATGGTTGCCGTTTTATGGGCTCCTAACCAATTGTGCTATTTTGTTTAGTTTTTACTTAGTAAATATTTTCTTAACTCTTATTTTCTTAAAACTGCATTGTTGGTTAAGGGCTTGTAAGTAAGCATTTCACGGTAAGGTCTACACCTGTTGTATTCGGCGCATGTGACAAATAAAATGTAATTTGATATTTATCAAACAAACTTGATTAAAGGTTTAAAAACTATTCTGTTTGTGTTTATGTGTGTGTGCGTGTGTACGTGTGTGTGTGGCAATGGTTTATGTGACTATTTGTTTTCTTCTGTTTAATCTTTTAATCAGTACAGGCCACTCTGATTTGTCATTGAAATCAATATAGTGTATTTGTATATGTATTTATTATGGATCCCCATTAGCTGCTGCAAAGGCAGCAGCTACTCTTCCTGGGATCCAGCAAAATTAAGGCAGTTCATACAATTTTAAAAACATTACAATACATTCACAGATTTCACAACACACAGTGTGCCCTCAGGCCCCTACTCCACCACTACCACATATCTACAGTACAAAATCCATGTGTACGTGTGTGTATAGTGCATATGTTATCGTGTGTGTGTATGCATGTGGCTGTGCCTATGTTTGTGTTGCTTCACAGTCCCAGCTGTTCCATAAGGTGTTTTTTAAATCTGTTTTTAAATCTAATTTTACAACTTGCATCAGTGTGAAAGCTATGTTACCGAAACTATTATACAAATGACAAGGGACAAATTCAACCAAAACTGCAATTGACAAAATTGCAAATTAAACCAAAATAGTCACCAACACATTGAGCTTCATGACAAAACTATGAGTGGTTCGCCTGGGTGTCTGTGGCTCCATAGAAGGGTGAAATTAAAATGACTTGGTTGGTCTGCCATCAAACTTGCTAACAGTGGCTTGAAGTCATCAATGACACATGTTCTCTTGTGACAAGGAGGAGTCTGAACAGTTGGTCTGAACCACTAGCTGTGAATTAACTATGAAAGGATGGTAACAGATGAACGGATATAAGACAATGCATGTACACAGACACAGAAGCTACAGCTTACTTTGTTTTTATTTCATTTCTGAATGTGAACAGGTGATTGGGAATACATGGTTTATACTGTGACAAAACCGTGTTTGATGTCATTTTATATCCCATGTAAATTTATTTTGACAACTAAAGACACTGACCACATTATGACAAAGACTGACAGAAATATAGTGTTACCAAATGCTCTTTGGTACCTCCTGACAAATAGCCACTGTGACCGTGTGTATCAATACCTGTAACTTTACTGTCCTCTGCCTAGCCTATTGATAAGTGCAAAGTAATCATGGTGATGACAATGATGATGGTTTTTACATAGCAACCAGCAAATAAAACTGTCAAAGCTAGGCTTCATATTGAATACAGGCATTAGATATATTTGTGTTTCAATAAAACAATAACTATTCAAAACATTTTCAGAATGTATTATCTTCACAGAATATTTTTGACAGTGTATTTGGCAGTGCTTAACGATTGAAAATGCTTGATAGGTAATGTTAATCTGTTCTACTGCGCATGCCTATCACCAATGACAGCAGAAACCGGATGTATGTTTCCATGGGCACATCCATTTGTTTAGCTATCTCGCTGATCTGTTATGAAACTACTGGAAAGCAGCTGGGGAAAAGCTCTTGGCTTCTTCGCCGTTCTGGTCGCTGTCATTGCAGCCGTTTTACACCATATAGAAAACAGCGAACGGACGATATACACCAGGTGAGAGGCAGAAGCTAACCAGCTAGCTTAGCTAGCTAGCTACTCGAACTACACTGACAGATTGTTGACAGTTTACCATGTCAGTCTGCAATCAGGCTTGGGAATGCTAGCATGTACAGTAACTAGCTACTGGTACTAGCTATTAGCCTACTGGTCTGTTTTACAGCTAGTTGTAATGCTGAGTGATTGCCTTTGAGGGAGGCTTGCAAGAAAGGTTAATTGCTTTATTTAGCTTGCTAGTTAGCTAGCTAGCGTGGAACCCCTTATAATCGGCATATTCAACAGCGTTTAAGAAATATTACCTTCAACAGTGTTATCTTGTGATCAAGCCATCAATATTTTGTAATAATTGGTGTCGTAAAAATGTTAGTTAACGGGTTAGCAATTAGCATGTTTGACATTTCAGCGGAAATACTATTATCATATTTTTGATAAGCGGTTTAGCATATTTTAGACATGTATTTTTTTTGTACAAATAAATGATTTCATATGAACACAAACAATTAAATCTCGACCTCCATCCCTATATTATCACAAAAATCACAATAAAAATCCAGCTCCACCGCTACCTCTGGATCCCACTGCACACACCTGCAGTGGAACCAGTGCTGGCAGAAGTCACACCACACCCATGGCACCTTGGATCTACACTCCTGAGGGGAGCTTGCAGGCGTATCATGCTCCCCGCAGCGAGCACAGCAGGTGGCGTCTTTTTTTATATAAAATAATAATAAAATTGATTAACATGGTTTTGCAAAATTTAGAAGTTCTTCAACAACAATAGTAATTGATACAACTGAGAGCCAGAAAAACAGATTATGAAGTACCTGAGAGTGGTGTACAGTTCTACAAATATAAATCCCTCTACTTTCATATCACATCCAAATAATTTCACAAATGCAAAATACACACTTACTGTACACGGTTTTAACACAGTTGCAGCCGACAGTATTTGTCAGTGACAACAAGTTTGTGTCGTCTGTCTTCCGTTTACACACAGGGGTTCAGAGACGCAGATAGCTAATTAGCACAGGTAGTCCACTCTGTCTTCCATCTGTTTTCCGTAAACAAGCGCTGTAAGGTGGAAATATGGCCGTGTGGGAACCCTAACCCTATAAAGGTGTATCAATTTCACCTTTCACCTTTTTATATAATTTCTCACCGATATGAAAGATAATCAATCTCCTTATGCTTCCAAAACCGTACCACAAGCAATGCTTGTTAATGATCAAGGGCTAGGGCTGATGTAGAACAGAGATTATTTAAATAAAAGTACAAATTCTTCAATTAAAATGCTATACATAATTACAGCCAAATAATTTAAGGAAGGGTGGTCATATCATTAACAAATATTCATGCTTTATGCAAAACTAGGAGATTGTAACAATTTATGAAATTAGAATACAACTTTTTATACTACTTTATGCAAATTAGATACTTAAGAGACACACACACACACACACACAGCCTAATGCAGACACACACTTCTCAGCATCCCCATACACTCACACAGCACCCCCACCAACACATACACACACACACCACATCACACACAGCCTAACACAGACACACACAGCCTAACATAGACGCACACTTCTCACAAAGTCTGAACTGTAACACTGAAGGCTACTAGTCTAATAAGATAGCTTACTTCTAAGGTAGGCCTACCCTTGAGTTGGGTTACATTGTAATGTTAGTTTTGGTGTTAATGAGTTACTCTGGTGATGGGAGGATAAACTGCAGCAAATAATTAGGCTAGGCACAGAAGAGACAGAGTGAGCTGCCAGCTGCTAGGACCAATCCCTGACAACCCATACATCAAAACGTAGCTACGAAGCTCTACTTTGTGACCTGCAGCCTGCTATATTTTTTTAGTGTCTCTGAAAACATCTGATGACAGAAGTGAAGGAAAAATGTTTTACCTTATATTTCAGTCAAAATACGTCCGATGACCGTGAAATACCCTCAGGACTTTCCCATACTTCTTGGCAATGCGATCTTACTCTGATAGGTTGAGTAATACCCATCGCAAAGAGCAAATAAGAACACACCGATTTCGCGTTTTTCACAAAAAGGGCTGTCCCACAGATTTGAACATTCTTTGCACGGCACTTGCTTTACATTTGGGCTCATATTGCGTAAATATCTTAACGTACAGTATTGGGATTTTTAGAAATAGGTAACAACTGCCACATGTATGTTTTCAAATGATTTATTATGTATTTTGATGACCACATTATTGACATTTAGTGAAAACAGTTTTGTTTACTGTGTTTTTGGTAGAATTCTCATATAGCGTCCATTGTTTGTCGCGTCACCCAACACCATACCATGAGCTTTGAATAAACTTAAACATTCAATACCATTTAAATGTGTGTGCAGACTACAACAAAGCCTACAAGAAGCCTACATCCATTATTCCATTCTAAAGATTGGCCTTGTGTATTGTTCTCTGTCCTCTTTCAGGTGCAGGAGGTGGTGGACTTTGAGAAACTGGATGACTACGCTGCAGCATTCCAAGGGCATGATGTTGGCTACTGCTGCCTGGGAACGACCAAAGCCAAAGCAGGGGCTGTGAGTTCATGGTCACTGATATAGAGACCCCTGTGTATACTGTAACTGGATGAGTACTCATATGAATATGATAGGGAATGTACCACCAGGGTCATAAGAAAATAAAGAAGATTGACACCCACCATCTCAGATTTTTGTGAAATAATTGTTGTTTTTAGAAACAGATAAAATTAGCATTCCTGCAACATTCTTTTGTTTAAATATCATTTGATCTCAGCTAATTGATTGCATCCAAATTTGACATTTTGAATTTCTAGGATTCATATAATATTCAATAAATATAGTACCTAACATCCGATTTGGATGAAAGTTTTTCTAACAATGATTTATCCAATGGTCAAAAGCCACCCACGGACACCCCACACCAATCCCATCCCAACGACAAGTACACTACCGTTCAAAAGTTTGGGGTCACTTAGAAATGTCCTTGTTTTCGAAAGAAAAGCAATTTTTTTGTCCATTAAAATAACATCAAATTGATCAGAAATACAGTGTAGACATTGTTAATGTTGTAAATGGCTACTGTAGCTGGAAACGGCTGATTTAATGGAATATCTACGTAGACGTACAGATGCCCATTATCAGCAACCATCAGTCCTGTGTTCCAATGGCACGTTGTGTTTGCTAATCCAAGTTTATCATTTTAAAAGGCTAATTGATCATTAGAAAACCCTTTTGCAATTATGTTATCACAGCTGAAAACTGTTGTGCTGATTAAAGAAGCAATAAAACTGGCCTTCTTGAGACTAGTTGAGTATTTGGAGCATCAGCAATTGTGGGTTTGATTACAGGCTCAAAATGGCCAGAAACAAATAACTTTCTTCTGAAACTCGTCAGTCTATTCTTGTTCTGAGAAATGAAGGCTATTCCATGCGAGAAATTGCCAAGAAACTGAAGATCTCGTACAACGCTGTGTACTACTCCCTTCACAGAACAGCGCAAACTGGCTCTAACCAGAATAGAAAGAGGAGTGGGAGGCCCCGGTGCACAACTGAGCAAGAGGACAAATACATTAGTATTTAGTTTGAGAAACAGACGCCTCACAGGTCCTCAACTGGCAGCTTCATTAAATAGTACCTGCAAAACACCAGTCTCAACGTCAACAGTGAAGAGGCGACTCCGGGATGCTGACCTTCTAGGCAAACACAACGTGCCATTGGCACACAGGACTGATGGTTGCTGAAAATGGGCCTCTGTACGCCTATGTAGATATTCTATAAAAAATCAGCCGTTTCCAGCTACAATAGCCATTTACAACATTAACAATGTCTACACTGTATTTCTGATCAATTTGATGTTATTTTAATGGACAAAAAAATTGCTTTTCTTTCGAAAACAAGGACATTTCTAAGTGACCTTTTGAACGGTAGTGTATATAATATCCGTTTTCTGTGTCTGACAAGTAATATATTTCTAGTAGTATGTTTGTTTCTTCATCCTATGTAATGTATTCCCAGTGAATTTGGTGATGTTTTTTTCCCCCTGCTCAGATAAATTATTCATTGAAGTTGTTAGGTTTAGTCCAATCCTATATCCTGATATTACCAGGTTCTGACCACGAGATGGTGCTGTTCCTGCTATTAGGTGAAAAAAGTTAAGACCCCCCCCATCAATCAATCAATCAATCAATCAATCAAATGTAATTATGAAGCCCTTTTTACATCAGCAGATGTCACAAAGTGCTATACAGAAACCCAGCCTAAAACCCCAAACAGAAAGCAATGCAGATGTACAAGCCATGACACCCAATGTTAAAGGGATAGTTCACCCAAATTACAAAATTGCATTGGTTTCCATGGACCAAATTACAAATGTAGGTATCGGTTTCCTTACCCCAGCGTTTCCCAAACTCTGTCCTCGGGACCCCAAGGGGTGCACATTTTGGTTTTTGCCCTAACACTACACAGCTGATTCAAATGATCAAAGATGATTAGTTGATTATTTGAATCAGCTGTGTAGTGCTAGGGCAAAAACCAAGACGTGCAATCCCTTGGGGTCCCGAGAACCGAGTTTTGGGGGGGGGGTTTAAATCACCTAATAGCAGGAACAGCATCATCCAGTGGTCAGAACCTGGTAATATCAGGATGTAGGATGGGACATAAACAATTTCAATGACTAATTTCTCTGAACAGGGAAGAAAAGAAACACCACCAAATTGACTGAGAATACATTACATAGAATGAAGAAACAATACTCAGACCACAGCTCAATAATACTTCTCAGACGTAGAGAACTGAAACTGTATAGTCGTTGTTGGGTGGGGTGTGGGGGGTCCGTGGGTGGCTTTTGACTATTTCTTTAGATTCCTCATGTCTTACTCATTGTTAGAAAAAAGTTCAAATCAGATGTTAGATGCTGTATTAATTGAATGTTACATGAATCCTATAAATTAAAATGGCCAATTTGGGTGCAATCAATCAGCTTAATTTCTCAGATAAATTTCAACAAAAGAATGATGCAGAAATTCTACATTTTTACATTTTAGTCATTTAGCAGATGCTCTTATCAAGAGCGACTTCTAACTACAGAAACTATTTCAGAACAATCTGAGATGGTGGGTGTCATGGCTTGCTGAAATGACATTGAACGACCCACCATACACAACCTGCTTGGATCAGTCAAAGGTGATGATTGTGGACTACAGGAAAAAGAAGAGGACCGAGCACGCCCCCATTCTCATCGACGGGGTTGTAGTGGAGCAGGTTGAGAGCTTCAAGTTCCTTGGTGTCCACATCACCAACAAACTATCATGGTCCAAACACACCAAGACAGTCATGAAGAGGGCACGACAGAGCCTATTCCCACTCAGGAGACTGAAAAGATTTGGCATGGGTCCTCAGATCCTCAAAAAGTTCTACAGCTGCACTATCGAGAGCATCCTGACTGGTTGCATCACTGTCTGGTATGGCAACTGCTCGGCCTCCGACCGCAGGGCACTACAGAGGGTAGTGCGTACGGCCTAGTACATCACTGGGGCCAAGCTTCCTGCCATCCAGGACCTCTATACCAGGCGTTGTCAGAGGAAGGCCCTAAAAATTGTCAAAGACTCCAGCCACCCTAGTCATAGACTGTTCTCTCTGCTACCGCACGGCAAGCGGTACCGGAGCGCCAAATCTAGGTTCAAAACGCTTCTTAACAGCTTCTACCCCCAAGCCATAAGACTCCTGAACAGCTAATCAAATGGCTTCCCGGACTATTTGCATTGTTCCCCCCCCCCCCCCACCCCCTCTTTTACGCTGCTGCTACTCTCTGTTTGTTATCTATGCATAGTCACTTAAACTCTACCTACATGTACATATTACCTCAATTACCTCGACTAACCTGTGCCCCCGCTGCTGCTCTTTAATTATTAGTTATTTTTATTTTTTACTTATCAATTTTTTTACGTAACACTTATTTTTCTTAACTGCATTGTTGGTTAAGGGCTTGTAAGTGAGCATTTCACTGTAAGGTCTACACCTGTTGTATTCGGCGCATGTGACAAATAAAATTTGATTTGATGTTGTGGTCAAAGGTAGATTAATGTACACATATTTTCTCTTATTTTTCTGTCATTGTAGGATGGATTCATCCGCGTTGACCATGACTATGTCCTGAAGTCAGCGGAGCTCGCCAAGGCAGGAGGCTGCTCACACTTCAACCTAGAGTCTTCTAAAGGGGCTGACAAAATCAGTGGTTTTCTCTATCTCAAAGTGAAGGTAATACACAAAATGTTCACCTGAGTAAAGATACCTCATTTATATCCTTTCATAATGAAGGCCTCTTTCAGCCTCTCTCATAAAGCTATTTGATGAAGTGCTGTATATTGTTTGGTTAATGCAAATGTTTGCCTCTCCAGGGACAAGTGGAGGCAGATATCGAGCCGTTGGACTTCGAGAGATACTCCATCTATCGCCCTGCGTAAGTCTAATTTGCATTAGTCATGTGTAAAAATGTCCCTTTGCAGAAATGACTCACTTGTTCATTACCTTATCAGTCATGGCAAAACAAATAGTGTCATGATTAGCAATATACAAATTTCTCCAGTGATCACGATGTAAACACATAGTGTTCACTTTCATTGCATAAATACACTTTGAGATATTATGATACTGTGTTTATAGCTGTAACTTATTTCACTCGTAACAACTCATAACTGAATTCTTGCTCTCTTTCTTGTTTTTCCTCCCAGGGTGCTGATGGTCGACAGGCAGGAGAGCCGGCCTGCTGAGTGGTTTGCCAGGAAGGTCCTGGGCCCTATTTCCTCCATGTTTCCCACGGCGATGTCCATCCCCATCCAATCAGTGACCAGGGCCATGTTGGCCAACACACTGATCCCTGCAGGGGAGAAAGTGGAGATCCTGGAGAATAAAGCCATCTATGACTTGGGAATGACTCTGTGGGAATGAGTCCAAAGGGGAATATTTCCTTATCATGAAAAGTGCCATTAAAGCTCTTCATGGGTAATGCAAATAAGATATGATTGGGAAATTATGACGTCATTATGAATACTGAAATCTGCCTTCTCTGTAAAGTCTTTGTATCCCAAGTGCTTTTTCTGAGTGCAGACTATTTTTGTGGTCAACAAGAAGGAGTTGGCTGAAGAGGAAACAGACTGGTACCGAGGCTAGAATCAGTTTAATATATTAGGTGAAGAGGGAAATGTATTTGACTGGTTCTTCTGGGTCCATTACCTCCTCAAAACGGTTTAGTTAGTAGAAGCTCTGCCATCCAACCTACAAGGTTCATGCTATTTTATATAAGACCACATCCTTAACCACTTTGAAAAATGATGCACTTACTTGAAGCAAGAGTTTATTTTCCACTATACTGAACCATTGGAGAGGGATTTTAAGGCAATATGTCTGAGTTATTTTATTGTCTTTGATCACTTTTGTTTTCTGAGCAATGCTAATCATGTAATTGATTCAAGGGTTATGTTGTTCATACTCCTATTGACTTGGATTTGTATACATTTTAATTGTGATGTTATGTAAATTCTATGTATTTTTCCATTTCAAGTCGACTATGCTTCTGTGTTACGTTAAAAGATGTACATCTGTAGTAGGCAGTAATACTTGATATGCGTATATACCGTACAGTATATTATACAGGCCTCCTGTAGCTCAGTTGATAGAGCATGGCGCTTGCAACGCCAGGGTTGTGGGTTCGATTCCCACGGAGGGCCAGTATGAAAGATTTATGCACTCACTAACTGTAAGTCGCTCTGGATAAGAGCGTCTGCTAAATGAAAATGTAAATGTAATATATACCCCACATGTGACTCATAATAACAGTGTAATTAGCCTATTAACTGAATTATCTGACTCCATAAGATAAATAGCAATATGCAATAACACTATAGATGAGTTACAGTAATAGGCAATGAAGAAATGTCTGAGAATGGAATTCTAAATACAAGTGTATTTAATTAGTTTGTCAAATGAATAATAACATTATACAAGGCATAAGCTTAAGTTACAAAGCATTACAAGGCATTATTCTAAGCATGGTCAGAGAGGGAGAGAGAGAAATGGCAATGGCACATAGCTCATGGGAGAGAGAGAAAGAAAGAGACAATGCAATCTAAGACCCTTTTATAAGCATCTGAGTTGTTTGGATTCAAAATCTGAGTTGTTGACCAATAGTATTACTATAAATCAGATATCAGAACTGCTTCTCAGAGGGGGTTGGCAAGATCATCATAGAGAATGTTCAATTCCTAAGACAACACAGGAAATTCTTGCATACAGTCGATAAGAAGAGTCACTTCGGGGGCTGCCCTACATAATTGACATTTAGCAGACGCTCTTATCCAGAGTGCATACATTTAAATATATATATATCATACTGGCCCCCCGTGGGAATCGAACCCACAACCCTGGTGTTGCAAGCGCCATGCTCTACCATCTGAGCTACACGGGGGCCTCATAATCCTCTCTTGAACACATCCGATTCTGCATCAGACAAAAATGTTCAAAACTGGACGGCCAGCACTGTAGTCACTGGAAACAATCTTCAGATCAGCAGTTCATGATCCTAGCAGCATCACTTCAGGAGTGTCCTTTTTGCTGCTGCCACCACCATGCTTCACCATAGGGATGGTATTGGCCAGGTGATGAGCGGTGCCTGGTTTCCTCCAGACGTGACGCTTGGCATACAGGCCAAAGAGTTCAATCTTGATTTCATCATACCAGAGAATGTTGTTTCTCATGGTCTGAGAGTCCCAAGTGGGCTGTCATGTGCCTTTTACTGAAGAGTGGCTTCCGTCTGGCCGCTCTACCATAAAGGCCTGATTGGTGGAGTGCTGCAGAGATGGCTGTCCTTCTGGAAGGTTCTCCAATCTGCACAGAGGAACTCTGGAGCTCTATCAGAGTGACCATCAGGTTCTTGGTCACCTCCCTGACCAAGGCCCTTCTCCCCCAATTGCTCAGTTAGGCCGGGCGGCAGCTCTAGGAAGAGTCTTGGTGGTTCAGTGCATGTCAGATCAAAAACCAAGCCATGATGTCAAAGGAATTGTCCGTAGAGCTTCGAGACAGGATTGTGTCGAGGCACAGATTTGGAGAAGGGTACCAAAAAGATTCTGTAGCGTTGAAGGTCCCCAAGAACACAGTGGCCTCCATCATTCTTAAATGACAAATTAGCAAAATAATCTAAAAACCTGTTTTTGCTTTGTCATTATAGGGTATTGTTTAGATTGATGAGGAAAAAAACTATTTAATTAATTTTAGAATAAGGCGGTAACCTAGCAAAATGTGGAAAAAGTCAAGGGGTCTGAATACCTTCCGAAGGCACTGTAGACAGGTGTGTTCCTTTCCAAATCATGTCCAATCAATTCAATTTACCACAGGTAGACTCCAATGAAGTTGTAGAAACATCTCAAGGATGATCAATGGAAACAGGATGCACCTGAGCTAAATTTTGAGTCTGAATACTTATGTAAATAAGGTATCTCTGTTTTTTATTTTTAATACATTTGCAAAAATGTTTAAAAACCTGTTTTCGCTTTGTCATTTATGGGGTATTGTGTATATAGATTGATGAGGACAAAATGAATGTAATACATTTTAGAATAAGGCTGTAATGTTACAAAATGTGGAAGAAGTGAAGGGGTCTGAATACTTTCCGAATGCACTGTATGGCCAATGGCTAACGGCTGTTCTTATGCATGACGCTTAGAAGTGGTATATTGGCCATATACCACAACCCCCCGAGGTGCCTTATTGCTATTATAAACTGGTTACCAACGTAATTAGAGCAGGAAAAATAAATATTTTGTCATAACCGTGGTATACGGACTGATATACCACGGCTGTCAGCCAATCAGCATTCAAGCCTCGAACCACCTAGTTTATAATTACAAATAATTTGTAGACTGCAATTGACTGCAAGAAGCCCAAACAGATATGATGTTTGACTAAAACATAATCATTTCAAACCTTACTTGCATTTATATATGATCATGCGTCTCTCTATTATTCATGGGAATACTTGGGAACAGATTTCTTAAATTAAAATCACTTGGAACTCATTTCCTGGTGCTTTTATGTCCAACAATAAAAATAAAAATAAATAAAAAAAGGTTGTTTTATTTTGCTCAGAAAACTTGGGGGGCCAAATGAAACCACCCGCAGGCCGCCAGTTAGGGATCCTTGCCCTAGCGCTTTTGAGCATGTTTATATGGAGAGTTACAGTCTAAGAGGTATCAGACTAGGCCTCTGGCACCCTGAGCCTACTAATACCCCAAATAGCCTTGTTCAGGGCAGGTTTAAACCTTCCCAAAACATCCGTCATATCAGTGACACTTCTTCTATGAGCTCATTGACTGTTCCCAAACACATCAGTGACACTGAACATGATGACTCAAGTAAACCTAGTCAGGGCAGAGCCTTGTCAAACGACAAGCCTGACCAATTTGAAGATGAGAAGTTAGGTCCACATGGTTTCAACCCTTCCACCGGAAGCACTAGTCCCCCAACAACCACATATCCACCCAGTGTTAACACTTCTCAGAGTGCAACTGCCCGCACCAGCATTACATTTGAGTAATTTATCCAGAGTAAGTACACTTTCCCTCAATAAAGTAGCTATCAGCAAAGTCAGAGCTAGTAAGGGGGTGTAAGTCAAGTGCAAGTGTTGCAGGTAATGGTGGTGATAAAATACCAGTGAAATAAAATGAAAATGAAGGTGGTAAATTCCTAATGTTAGATGAGGTTATACTTTATTGCTCATTATGCATTGTTGACCCAGGTTTCTACCGCTCCTGAGATGACTGGCTTCATCCCTGTGCCCTGCTATGGTCTGACTTTGAATACATGGTTAAATCCTGAGCCCTTGGGAAATTTTTGGTTTCAGGGATTAGAAATGGTTAAAATAAATGTTACATGGGCACTATTGTTTTTATTTCACTACAGTGGTCAGGGCTTCATCAAAATGTGATAATTCAAAGATTGTCTTTTGAGTTCGTGACCTCAAGTGGTGAATGTATGGAAATACTTTAGAACCAGTCAGACCTAACCCAACAGGACAGAGTGCAGTAGTACTGAACTCTGCAGGCCAGGAGCCCAGTGAAGCTGCTCTTTCACTGCTGGTATGGAGTGGAGCTGATCTCATGATAATAATAATATGCCATTTGGCAGACGCTTTTATCCAAAGCGACTTACAGTCATACGTGCATACATTTTTGTGTATGCGTTGTCGCGTGGATCGAACCCACTACCCTGGCGTTACAAGCGCCGCGCTCTACCAGCTGAGCTACAGAGGACCACCGCATCACCATCTACCTGGCCCCATGTTTGAAGCAGGTTCATATGGTTGATTTGCTTATGTTTTATTTTGAATCTATATAGTTATTATCAGGCATGGCTGTCAAAATGGTTCTGGTTGAGCGGGCCTATTGTTATATTGGTACATTTTCAAAAATTGTACAACTACAAACGCTGTAGTTGAATGCATTCACGTTCATGACGCCAGGTGGCGACAAAGTCATTTTGCACTTTTAAATAGTGACGTCTTACCTGCGCCGGAAGTGTAATTCGTAAACGCTGATGTGTTACCTTCATTGAGATCTCGTTACAGTTGAACTTCAAGCCTGTGTTTGGTATAACAGTCCATCTAAATTGCTCGAATACTGTACAAGTCGATGTCAAAAAAGGACCTACTACGCGTACGTGAAGGGAACAGCAGCACAGGGTTAAGGAACTAATGGCGGTAGGTGGATCTTTCACCTGCGTATGTTTCAGACAGGTTGGGCAGACTAGCTGACTGCATAGGATAACGAGCCTACTAAGTTTTATAACAGCAACTAACTCACCTTCAGTTATGTGTACCTATTGGCTAATTAATTTGATAGAATGATAAACTAATGTGTATCAAAGCCAATTAATTAGCTTGAGCCAACGTTAGTTAACAAACCCTACACAGCCTGTCTCCATATTGATGCTAGTAAGTTAATTGCTGGTAAGCTTTCTTATTTCTGAAGTCCATGCAATGTTGACTACACTAACAGCCCACCTTTCTAATGCACACAGCCCAAAGGTAAGGTCGGCACTAAAGGCAAGAAGCAAATCTACGAGGAGAATGAGGGGACACTCAAGTTCTACACCAGAGTAATCTTGGGAGCTAACGTAAGACATCATCTTCCTTGCCAATGTTACTTTTTGAATGGAAATTGTGACTAGTACAGCACCTGACACTTCTTTCTCTCCTAGGCGATATACACTGCGTTAAACCTCTTGGTCTTCTATAGCTCTTCAACGTTTTGGACATGGGTGAGTTCATTCTGTGTATGTTATTGACATTGATGGCTCCTCTACTGTTGAGCAGTGAAACTGGGATGATTGCGGATTACTAACGCTCTCTACTTTATTTTCTCCCTCTCTCTCGTTCCTCCCTTCTTGGTTTCTCCCCCACGGTCTCATTCCCCCTGTCTCTCTCTTCTTCCTTCCTCCATCTCCTTCTCCCACCCCTGTAGTTTGCAATGGTGTTTGCCCTGGCAGTGTATGTGGGCAGTTACCGCTCCATGACTGCCATGGCCAAAGCAGTGTTTGGTGAGGATGGGAGTCTGCTGGACGGAGGAATAGATCTGAACATGGAGCAGGGGATGGCAGAGTGAGTGCTCACACTGCAGGAGTGTGTTTATTTCCGTGAACATGAGTGTGCAAACATACAGTATGTGTGTGAGAGAATTGGTGAGTATTACAGCATGTTCAAAATGCGTGTAACAATGGTGCCCTTATCTCCCTTCAAGGGTAGATTTCTCAAAGCTATAATGGTAGTGTGGTGCGTTTATGATGGATTCTTTGTCATTATAGGCATCTGAAGGATGTTATCCTGCTAACTGCCATAGTACAAGTGCTCAGCACCATCTCCTCCTACTTCTGGTACCTTTGGCTACTGGTAAGAGTTTATCCCATACTTGCTGTACTCGCTCTCTTTGGTTGTTTATTTTCCCTTTCTCGTGGCCATTATTGATCTCTTAATCAATCTGTGTGTGTGTCAGGCCCCGGCCCGTGCAATGTTCCTGCTGTGGGTCAACTTCCTAAGCCCCTGGTTTTCGGCCGAGAACTCTGGTGCCGCCCCAGAGGAGGTGAATGAGAAGAAGCAGAGACGACAGGAGCGCAGACAGATGAAGAGATTCTAACTTGGCAGACTGTCGCATTATTTCTATACACAGAATGAATCTAAATACAGACAGCCAGGAACTCTACAGTTAAGTTATTCAGGAGGAGCTTTTGATGTGTGCTCAGACGTCCAGGTATGGATAAAGAACTGAACCGGACCCTGGGGGTTATCTGGTTTTCCTCTCGCTCCCTATCCCTTCATCCTTCCCTTTCTTCCTCGCCCCTCTATCCTTATCCCTCTTTCTTTACATCTGGAGAGGAAATCGTCCTTGTTGGGCTGATGTCATCATCATCACCAATACATGTTGTCATATACCTTGGCCTGTAATTTGTGTTTACATCCAATTGTTCATAATCTAGGTCTATGTATCACATAAATTTCATATGAACTAGTGAAAAGGATGTGGTGATTTTACCCTATGGTAGGCCTTTTATTTTAGACACTGCTCATCAGATCTCACTCTCATTGCCCAATTCCAAATAGACCACTAGCAACTACCACCTAGGTGCTAATCTAGACCAAGGGGGAACTATTACCTAACTTTTACAGCTATTTATTTCAGATCTACATGAAGTGCCTAGGGTTAGGGGCTAGGTGTTGATTTGGAATTGGGCCTATGTGACGAAGGTTGAAATTAAATCCGATTCTGCTTTGTCCGCAATGCACAGTTTAAAGGCAATGTTCTCGCAGAGACTACATTCACTGTTAGTGCTGCATATGTCGGCTCAATCGGAAATGACTTGCACTGAACAAAAATATCAACGCAACATGTAAAGTGTTGGTCCCATGTTTCATGAGCTGAAATAAAAGATCCCAGAAATGTTCCATACGCACAAAAAGCTTATTTCTCTCAAATGTTATGCTCAAATTTGTTTACATCCCTGTTAGTGAGCATTTCTCCTTTGCCAATATAATCCATCCACCTTACAGGTGTGGCATATCAAGAAGCTGATTAAACAGCAGGATCATTACCCAGGTGCACCTTGTGTTGGGGACAATAAAATAAAATAAAAAAATTGTCACACAACACAACGCCACAGATGTTTCAGATTTTGAGGGAGCACGCAATTGGCATGCTGACTGTAGGAATGTCCACCAGAGCTGCTGCCAGAGAATGTAATGTTCATTTCTCTACCATAATACGCCTCCAACGTCATTTTAGAGAATTTGGCAGTACGTCCAACCGGCCACACAACCGCAGACCACGTGTATGGCTTTGTGTGTGCGAGCGGTTTGCTGATGTCAACGTTGTGAACAGAGTGCCCCATGGTGGCGGTGGGGTTATGGTATGGGCAGGCATAAGCTACGGACAATGAACACAATTGCATTTTATCGATGGCAATTTGAATGCATAGAGATACCGTGACGAGATCCTGAGGCCCATTGTCATGCCATTCATCCACTGCCATCACCTCATGTTTCAGTATGATAATGCATGAACCCATGTCGCAAGGATCTGTACACAATTTCTGGAAGCTGAAAATGTCCCAGTTCTTCCATGGCCTGCATACTCACCAGACATGTCACCCATTGAGCATATTTGGGATGCTCTGGATCGACGTGTACAATGGCGTGTTCTAGTTTCCGCCAATATCCAGCAACTTTGCACAGCCATTGCAGAGGAGTGGGACAACATTCCACAGGCCACAATCAACAGCCTGATCAACTCTATGCGAAGGAGATGTGTCACGCTGCATGAGGCAAATGGTGGTCACACCAGATGCTGACTAGTTTTCTGATCCACGCCCCTACTTTTTTTTTTTTTAAGGTATCTGTGACCAACAGATGCATATCTGTATTCCCAGTCATGTGGAATCCATAGATTAGGGCCTAATGATTTCCTCATATGAACTGCAACTCAGTAAAATCTTTGAAATTGTTGCATGTTGCGTTTTTATATTTTTGTTCAGTATAAATGGCGCATTGTCTAAATCCGCGATCAGATTGTATCTCGGCCCTAATCGTTATAGCTCCCATCCTTCATAATGCTGAAAAATGATTTGATTACAAAAAATAACAATCCTCAGATTCTCAAGTATCATATACATTCATTGAACATTTCAAGTGCATTTCTTCACAACATAAATAAGCAATAGGAAATATACAGTGCCTTCAGAAAGTATTCAGACCTTTTGACTTTTTCCACGTTTTTGTTGTTACAGCCTGAATTTAAAGTTTATTAAATTGAGATTTTGTCACCCTACACATGATACCCCACCCATAATGTCAAAGTGGAATTATGTTTTTTGAAATTTTTACAAATTAATAAAAAAATGATTGCGTTAAGTATTCAAGCCCTTTGTTATGGCAAGCCTAAATCATTTTAAGTCATAAGTTGCATGGACTCATTCTGTGTACAATAATAGTGTTTAACATGATTTTAGAATGACTACCTTGCATCTCTACCCCACACATACAATTATATGTAAGGTCCCCCAGTCAAGCAGTGAATTTCACACACAGATTCAACCACAAAGACCAGGGAGGTTTTCCAATGCCTCGCAAAGAAGGGTGGCTATTGGTAGATGGGCAAATGTATTTGTGTTTTTTTTTTAAGCAGACATTGAATATCCCTATGAGCATGGTGAAGATATTAATTACACTTTGGATGGTGTATAAATACACCCAGTCACTACAAAGATACAGGCGTCCTTCCTAGCTCAGTTGCCGGAGAGGAAGGAAACCGCTCAGGGATTTCATCATGGGGCCAAGAGTGACTTTAAAACAGTTACAGTTTAATGGCTGTGATAGGAGAAAATGGATGATGGATCAACAACATTGTAGTTACTCCACAATACTAACCTAAATGACAGAGTGAAAAGAAGGAAACCTGTACAGAAAAAAAATATTCCAAAACATGCATCCTGTTTGCAACAAGGCACTAAAGTAATAATGCAAAAAATGTGGCAGCGCAATTAACTTTTTTGTCCTAAATAAATTAAATGTGTTATGTTTGGGAATGGAATGTCGCTAAGCACAGGCAAAATCCTAGAGGAAAACTTGGTTCAGTCTGCTTTCCACCAGACACTGGGAGATTAATTCACCTTTCAGCAGGACAATAACCTAAAACACAAGGCCAAATCTACACTGGAGTAGTTTACCAAGAAGACCGTGAATGTTCCTGAGTGGCCGAGTTAGTTTTGACTTAAATCTACTTAAATCTATGGCAGTATCTGGAAATGGTTGTTGAATGTCCAGCAATTATCAACAACCAATTTGACAGAGCTTGAAGAATTTTTAAAAGAACAATGGGCAAATGTTGCGTAATCCAGGTGTGGAAAGCTCTTAGAGACTTACCCAGAAATACTCATAGCTGTAATCGCTGCCAAAGGTGCTTCTACAAAGTATTGATCCAGGGGCATGAATACTTATGTAAATTAGATATTTCTGTATTTCATTTTCAATACATTTGCAAAAATGTCTAAAAATATGTTTTCAAATCAAATTGTATTGGCCACATGCACCGAATACAACAGGTGCAGACATTACAGTGAAATGCTTACTTACAACCAACCAACCAACAGTGCATTAATTTTTTTTATAAAAAAGTAAAATAAAACAACAAAAAAGTGTTGAGAAAAAAAAGAGCAGAAGTAAAATAAAATAACAGTAGGGAGGCTATATATACAGGGGGGTACCGGTGCATAGTCAATGTGCTGGGGCACCGGCTAGTTGAAGTAATATGTACATGTGGGTAGAGTTAAAGTGACTATGCATAAATAATTAAGAGTAGCAGCAGCGTAAAAATATGTGGTGGGGGTGGGGGGGCGGGGGGGCAGTGCAAATAGTCCGGGTAGCCATGATTAGCTGTTCAGGAGTCTTATGGCCTGGGGGTAGAAGCTGTTGAGAAGTCTTTTGGACCTAGACTTTGTAATTATGGGGTATTGTGTGTAGATGGATGAGGGGGAACAAATCTGTTTATTCCATTTTGAATTCAGGCTGTAACACAACAGAATGTGGAATAAGTCAAGGGGTATGAATACTTTCTAAAGTCACTTTAGTAGTATACCTTTTGTGATGTGTAGCCATCTTGGTGTGAAATCAGTCGTTTGTTCTGTTTCTTTCTCCATATCTCCCAACCGAATGACCCAGGCTGTGTCATCACTCCCTTTTGCGGATGTGATAGAACTGTCGCCTCAGATCCGCAGAGGGGAGTGATGGAGGGTAGATTGGAGAAAACAGCTTCCTGTAGCTAATGCATCCCCAGTGAGTTATTGCCTGAATTCCCCACTGTGTCATTGACAAGCATAGACAAGGCGCTAGGAATGGGACTAAGACCTATGACTGCTGCTCTGGCTTTGCCAAAATCATCTTTGAATAATACACAAATGAAATGGAAGTATATATTGATGCACTGGTAGTTAGTTGCCAGCAATTTGTGTGATCAATATGCCTATACAATGTAAGCATGTCAAAGCAGGGGTAACATGGTCGTTGATCGCTTCAGAAATGTCTGCCTTTTTACTATCAGCCAACAACTATGTAAGCCTAGATATTGTTGCTACAAAGTCTTAATGTACATATGATTAAATTGATTTCAGTATGAAAACAATAACCTGTCTTAGGTCTCATTTTATGTCAATGTTTTTTTCATAATGATTTAACAAGTACGTTAACTAGATTTGATCTGTTATTTCATTGTAGAGAGCAAACATCTGTGTCCAAAAGTCGAAGTATTGTTTGTGTTATCAATAAATGTATATTAAAGTAACCTTTTCATAATTTAGAATCAGAAAAAAGTATTGTAAAACTGATAATGTTCAAGTAAAAAACAAATCGGGGGACTTTTATTTGGAAAATGATCGGTATGGTCACGTGACCTTAAAGGCCGTTGCTACATCCATTTTTGGACTCTTAAATGAATGATATGTACCCATTGATTCTTGAAGAATATAACTTATAAATGCCTCATGAGCTTAATTCAACTGCCGTACCACAGAACCCAAAATATAAGCTTGTTTAACTCCAAAGCAATTGTAAAGGAACACTATATAGCCTCAACACATGGTTAAAACTAGAATGTTGATATCATGGATGGTAAGTCCTTGCTTCCTTAGCGCTGTCTATGAATTTGAGAGTGGTTACATTTCTCCAGCCCCATCCCTCAGCTTTTTACCGAAACGGGTGCCCTCTGTTATTGTTTCAAAGGCAGATTGCCGCTTGCATCACAATGCTTCCAATTCAAAAAGAGTGTACACATTTTTGCACAATCCCTGTATTTACAGTCGTGGTCAAAGGTTTTGAGAATGACACAAATACTAATTTTCACAAAGTCTGCTGCCTCAGTTTTGATGATGGCAATTTGCATATACTCCAGAATGTCATGAAGAGTGCTTTGCATGAAAATGAACTTAATCCCAAAAAATCTTTTCCACTGCATTTCAGCCCTGCCACAAAAGGACCAGCTGCCATCATGTCAGTGATTCTCTCGTTAACACAGGTGAGTGTTGACGAGGACAAGGATGGAGATCACTCTGTCATGCTGATTGAGTTAGAATAACAGACTGGAAGCTTTAAAAGGAGGGTGGTGCTTGAAATCATTGTTCTTCCTCTGTTAAACATGTGGTTGCTTCTCAGCCAAGGGAGTGGGCTCACTCACAATTTTGCCTAAGAACACAGCCATGAATAAAGAATGGTACCAACACATCCTCCGAGAGCAATTTCTCCCAACCATCCAAGAACAGTTTGGTGACGACCAATGCCTTTTCCAGCATGATGGAGCACCTTGCCATAAGGCAAAAGTGGTAACTAAGTGGCTCGGGGAACAAAACATCGAAATTTTGGGTCGATGGCCAGGAAACTCCCCAGACCTTAATCCCATTGAGAACTTGTGGTCGATCCTCAAGAGGTGGGTGGACAAACAAAAACCCACAAATTCTGACAAACTCCAAGCATTGATTATGCAAGAATGGGCTGCCATCAGTCAGGATGTGGCCCAGAACTTAATTGACAGCATGCCATGCCAGGGCAGTCTTGGAAAAAGAAGGGTCAACACTGCAAATATTGACTCTTTGCATAAACGTAATGTTATTGTCAATAACAGCCTTTGACACTTATGGAATGCTTGTAATTATACTTCAGTATACCATAGTAACATCTGACAAAAATATTTCATAACACTGAAGCAGCGAACTTTGTGAAGACCAATACTTGTGTCATTCTCAACTTTTGACCACGACTGTATATTTCTATGGACCTCTTCCTCTGTTCATAGTCTGAACATGAACTTGGTCTGAACTTCAGGGAAACACTCTTAAGGCCACTTCGATACCGAAGTTGCATTTTTGTAGCAGGTTAGGATAATTAACGTAGCAGGTTAGGAGACTGATGTTAAGGTCAGGAATAGGGTTAGGGGTTTGCGAAAATGCTCTCCTAACCTGCTACGAAAATCACTTTGAAAACGAAGTCGCGGGTGTTTGGGCTACTTCTAAATTGCATCGCGGCCGTCATGGAATTTTTCTTTAAAATATGTAACTGTGACCTGCTGCTGATGACTATCAGCTAGTGAGGCAGCCTGTTGCTGAGTGAGCGGTGGGAGGGCCGGAGGGGTGTGTGTATGTTGAGTCACGTGAGTTAGAGGAGACAGTCATGACAACGTTTTACCAGTTCTTGGTAGGCTATTTAGATTGTAATTATGGAGACATATATTTCCAACCCTCTTTCCATAAAACAAATTAACGCACTAGAACTGATCATCAAGAAATAAGGCGATAATGCACAGAAAAACGACTAGGCGCTCTAAAGCGCATTATATGAATTCACTTGGAGGTGGTTTAAACTGCATTCTAATGTCGACTTTGCTTATAGAAAACCAAATCAAGCGAAGGATTTTACGAATCCTCAGTTATTGGGTCTGCAGTGCTGCGCGGGTGGACATTTTAAATGGAAGTTATGGAACTCCCTGGCGTGCTTCCGATATGGGGAAAAGGCCACAATGAAGCTGACATTGAATGTGGAGAGTGATATATCCAGGGGCGCAACTTTCACTGGGGACGGGGGACATGTCCCCCCCACATTCTGAAATTGCATTTTTGTACCCCCCCCAGTTTTAGCATTGGAATGTGTCACAAAACGAGGCAACTGTATGCTTTAGGGCCATGCGGACGCCTCCGAGCTGTCGGGTAGGCTGTTTGGAGTGTTTATCCGACTGGATAAAAAATTAAAATAAAAATAAATAAAAGTGATCCCCCCACTTCTAAAACCAAAGTTGCACCCCTGTCGGCCGTTAAGTAGCCTATTAATTTCTGTGCAGGCTACTGTAGCCTACCATTTGAAACAATAAATATGTTGAAATGATGATATCACTGGAGTCATTGCAAATCAATTTTTGCCACTTGTGTAGCCTACCTGGAGCTGGCAAACGTATTTAATAAATAGCCTACAACTTCAGTTTATTGTTGTTGTAGACCTCAGTAGCCTATTCCAGCAGGCTATTGGGCAACATAAGCACTTCTTACCTTGAAATCGCCTCGCTATTCATGTTAAATAAATGAGTCTGTCAATTTACATCATGCCTAGGCTACTGTAGGCTATAGGCTACCTGCATCTAGCTAACCAAACCATGGTAAAGTTGAATTACAGTCATAAACCCAGATTTTAGTAGGCCTAGCCAATGCCTATTGAAATGACAAGTCAATCTTGCAAATTGGCCATTTATAATGGTTTGTAGTCTTAACATCAGGCATACAATAATGGCACAATTGCCAGAAAATAGCCTAACGTTCTTTTGAAGGTTGTCCAAGTGTTTCTTGCACAGAGATTTTGAGATCCTCTGTCCAACTTTCATCCCTCAAACATATTTACAATGAAACGAGTTAATTCAACATCCATTGATGGAAAACGATCTGGCGAGTTTAAAATAAGGGCAATTATCATTTATCGTGCAATGGAAAACCGATTTTTTCTTCTTTCATCGTTACAAGTTACGTCGATATTCTTGCTTAATTTGCTCTAACTATGGGGGATTTATTATTTTTATAATTGATGGGATGACTAACTTAGAAAGAATGCATTCTAGACTGGGCTGATGTAGGTTGTGTCACCTGGCAAGCTGTGATTGATGTGAAGAGCTATTTTAGGGGGTAAAATGAGATAAGGATTTGTGTCTCCAAATACTAGACAATACTGGTTCTTTGTGATCTGTGAACCATCCTTGGACGTAGGAATGGTGTCTAGGGGAGCTGGCTCTTCTCACTATGACAGGTTGTTATGATAAACGTATGCCTGGAAACAGGGATGCGCTAAGAGGCGGGGGACTAGCCTGTGCGCCAACGGATTGGCTGAGTAAGTCTAAACCACGCTCAAGTCTCTACTCTGATTGGCCAGCAGAGAGGTGGGAAACTCTCTCTGTCAGAGTGTTTGAGGAAGAACCTAAAACAATGGATTTAGTTCTCTGAATGCCCTGCGAGGTATTTCAAGGAGCCCATATATATACGAAACATCATATTTACCATTGAAGGTTTTTGCATTAATTAAAATAACTAGTATATCTTAGAAGTCGTGTTGACCTCTTTTGTTCCTAATGCCAGATTTGAATTGATGCAACTTTGACAATAACGTTATGGGGAAAGGGTTTATTGGCTAAATGTGGCAACTCTTCTCTTGCTGCTTAAAAATTGGGCTAGTTTCAGTCTTTGTGTGCGGGTTTTAGTAGTCGTTGCTCACATTTTAGCTAGACCTGGCAACCCTGAGTGTGTCCCCTGAACTTCAGCCATCCGGAAGTGAATAAATGATCTCATTGCAAGCCCAGTTGCTAAGCTGCAAGTGTAGACTGTGGTCGCAAGCAACATGAAATCAACAACAAGGACTGAAGAAGCCAGACAGAATCAGATTAGTAGTTGTTATTAGCTAGCTATTGATTCCGGTCTTAACCATTCTATTTTCACCAATCATAGCTAGAGATATTCTACTGGCAATTAGCTTAAAATGCAGGTATGTTCTGTATTATATTTTGCCCTGCCCAGGACAAGCAATCTAATTAGCTAGCTACTGTACAGTAGCTAGCTAATTGAGCTGTTGTTAACGTTAGCAAGCTATGCTAATTTGCTAGCAAACTGTTTAACCATCGAAATGGCGTTTACTAGCTAGCTAGCTAACAGTTATTAGAATTTGCATGACTTTGTATTTGCCTAAATTGCAGCCCGAAATGAATTGTTACTTTGTTTTGTTTAAGCTAACTAACTAAGTTAACTAAGCCTGCTAACTAGCTAGCGAACCAGCTAGCTAACGCCAACAGCGTAGATTCGACTATCTAGCTCGTAATAATTAGCTGGTTTAAACAGTTTCTATTTTGTTTGCATCCTCCCTCAGCTCCAAGAGAAGCCGACAGTGGACATGAAGCGGAGAAGTTGACATTTTATCTGTCTCTTCTGCCACACAGAGCTAGTTGCTTCTTGTTCATTCATTGGAGAAAAGCTAAAAGTCTCATCATACAGTCAACACACCTGAAGCAACTAGCTCTGTGTGAATAATAACACTGTTGAGTGTTGGATGCCCAAGAATCACCATGGCTGTGGCCAACACCACCAAAACATCATGGAGATTACGTGAGTAGAGTCTCCATTTCACTCACCCTTTCAAGACCCAAATTCAAGCCCCTAATCTTATTGGTTTCATGGACCAAGAGATGAATCCTGGTGTGTTGTGCATCATTTTCTGTTCCAGAGGAGATTGTAGCCCACTCCAGTAATGTGGCGTGTCTGGCCCTGGGGAAGAACTCAGGCCGTCTGCTAGCCACTGGGGGAGAGGACTGCCGAGTCAACATCTGGGCAGTCAGCAAACCCAACTGCATCATGGTACAGACTAGCCAGACCTTTAGGGAAGAAGTGTGTGTGTACAGTTTGATCTCTGCTTATTTCTGGTGGATGCTGCCTGTCACTAAAACATGTATTTCCACCTCTCTCTCACCTTCTTGTCCCCTCTCCCTTTCTCTTCTCCTCTCCCGTTTGCTTTCCCTCTCTCTCTCACAGAGTCTGACAGGCCATAATAACCCAGTGGAGTGTGTAAAGTTTAATAACTCTGAGGAGCAGGTGGTGGCTGGCTCACAGTCTGGATCACTGCGCGTATGGGACCTGGAGGCTGCAAAGAGTGAGACTGCATTTCTCCTATATTGTGTGTGTATGGGGAGGTTAGGCGTGTGGGATGTGGAGATGTATTTCTACTAGAGTCAACTAGACATTTACATTACATTTACATTTACGTCATTTAGCAGACGCTCTTATCCAGAGCGACTTACAAATAGGTGCATTCACCTTATAGCCAGTGGGATAACCACTTTACATTTTTTTTTTTTTGTGTTTAAAAAAATATATAATTTATTTTATTTATTTATTTTATATATATATAATTTTTTTTTTGGGGGGGGTGGGTTGGAGTAAAAGGGGGGGGGGGGGGGGTAGAAGGATTACTTTATCCTATCCCAGGTATTCCTTAAAGAGGTGGGGTTTCAAATGTCTCCGGAAGGTGGTGAGTGACTCCGCTGTCCTGGCGTCGTGAGGGAGCTTGTTCCACCATTGGGGTGCCAGAGCAGCGAACAGTTTTGACTGGGCTGAGCGGGAACTATGCTTCCGCAGAGGTAGGGGAGCCAGCAGGCCAGAGGTGGATGAACGCAGTGCCCTCGTTTGGGTGTAGGGACTGATCAGAGCCTGAAGGTACGGAGGTGCCGTTCCCCTCACAGCTCCGTAGGCAAGCACCATGGTCTTGTAGCAGATGCGAGCTTCAACTGGAAGCCAGTGGAGTGTGCGGAGGAGCGGGGTGACGTGAGAGAACTTGGGAAGGTTGAACACCAGACGGGCTGCGGCATTCTGGATGAGTTGTAGGGGTTTAATGGCACAGGCAGGGAGCCCAGCCAACAGCGAGTTGCAGTAATCCAGACGGGAGATGACAAGTGCCTGGATTAGGACCTGTGCCGCTTCCTGTGTAAGGCAGGGTCGTACTCTCCGAATGTTGTAGAGCATGAACCTACAGGATCGGGTCACCGCCTTGATGTTGGCGGAGAACGACAGGGTGTTGTCCAGGGTCACGCCAAGGCTCTTCGCACTCTGGGAGGAGGACACAACGGAGTTGTCAACCGTGATGGCGAGATCATGAAACGGGCAGTCCTTCCCCGGGAGGAAGAGCAGCTCCGTCTTGCCGAGGTTCAGCTTGAGGTGGTGGTCCGTCATCCATACTGATATGTCTGCCAGACATGCAGAGATGCGATTCGCCACCTGGTTATCAGAAGGGGGAAAGGAGAAGATTAGTTGTGTGTCGTCAGCGTAGCAATGATAGGAGAGGCCATGTGAGGATATGACAGAGCCAAGTGACTTGGTGTATAGCGAGAATAGGAGAGGGCCTAGAACTGAGCCCTGGGGGACACCAGTGGTGAGAGCACGTGGTGCGGAGACAGCTTCTCGCCACGCCACTTGGTAGGAGCGACCGGTCAGGTAGGACGCAATCCAAGAGTGAGCAGCGCCGGAGATGCCCAGCTCGGAGAGGGTGGTGAGGAGGATCTGATGGTTCACAGTATCAAAGGCAGCAGACAGGTCTAGAAGGACAAGAGCAGAGGAGAGAGAGTTAGCTTTAGACCTAGGCTACCAGTTGTTCTGAGAATGCCATAACAATGTTTTGCTATTTTATCCCAGTCCTAAGAACTTTAATGGGACACAAGGCCAATATCTGCAGCTTGGACTTCCACCCGTTTGGGGAATACCTGGCATCAGGCTCCATGGACACCAACATCAAGGTGTGTATGTGTGCTGCATGAGTGAGTGTTGTTAAGAACTCTACTATGTATGTGGATTGTTATGTGATATCTGTGTTTAAACAGACTTTTTCTCTTTCAGCTGTGGGATGTACGGAGAAAGGGCTGTGTGTTCAGGTACAAGGTAAGACTTGCAGCCGTATGTAATTCATACCCAACTGAAGAGCACCAAGGTTAATTATTGGCTAAAGCCTTTTTGTGGTTAGAAAGCGCTGTACTATATTGACCCAGCCCCCTTAGTTTGGCAGGGATCCTGTTTAAAGGAGATGCTGTTGTCTCACTGGCCCTTCCCTCCCAACCTCCCCCCTTACCGACCTTCTCACTCTCTGTTAGCGGCCTGCTGTCTGGTCAGTGGCTGATTATCTTGTTAGCCGTGGGAGTGGGTCTGCTAATCAGCACTAATGCTGTGTGTTTATGTCTGGCAGTAGGACTAAGCCAGGGATTACAGTGAGACGGCGAACACTGTCTTGTCTGCCCTGGCCTGGGGAGGAGGGGCTGGGGACTGACTGTCTGGATAGGAGTAGGGGGCCTGTGTGTGTTTATCAATTTCATATGCAATCTGTGTGTGTTTGTGCAGGGTCACACTCAGGCAGTAAGGTGCCTGGCTTTCAGTCCAGATGGGAAATGGTTGGCCTCTGCTAGTGATGACAGCACCATCAAGGTATGAACGCACCTACACATTGTCAGAAGCTTGCTTTCACATGTTTCTCATCTCACATGACTGTGGTCAGTTTGTGAAGTAGGGCTCTCCAACTTTGTTCCTGGAGAGCTACTGTCCTGTAGGTTTTCACTCTAACCCTAATCTAGCGCATCTGATTCTAATAATTAGCTGGTTGATAAACTGAATCAGGTTAGCTACAACTGGGTCTAGAGCGAAAACCTACAGGAGGGTAGCTCTCCAGGAACAAGGTTGCAGAGCCCTATTGTAAACTCTCAACCTTATGTTCAGAGGGGTTTGCTACAAAGCAGGATTAATGAGTTAGCCAGCTAACTTGCCTAAATATTCTGAAATAACTTTTTTGAAAAATAAGCTTGAAATGGGCATGGCCTAATTGATTCAACAACCAAAAACACATATCTAAGTTTAACTTTCTTAATGAACCAGAAAATCAATAGTTATTTTTGGTTGGTTATCAAAGTCAGCTGGCTAACTCATTGATCCTGTTTTGTAGTATACACCTCTGCATAGAAGTTCTCCTTCTATAGGCACAGATCTGGGATCAGCTTACCTGATTCTTAAGGGCAACATCATAATATTCCTAGCTGTGCCAGTCAGGAACTCATATTGCCCTCTGACCTTTGTCCTAGCTGTGGGACCTGACTGCAGGGAAGATGATCACAGAGTTTACAGCACACACCGGAGCCATCAACATCATCCAGTTCCACCCCAACGAGTATCTGCTAGCGTCAGGCAGCTCTGACAGGTATGGTATCCACACACACACTCGGGGGGTGAAATATGGTAAATAAATACGTATGAGGTAACTGTACTTACGATGGCTTCAACTCCATTACTAAAGCGGAATGCCTTAAGGATGGCTGTGTTTTCCACTGGCTTCATCACAGCTCTATCTGTGTGTGTACGTCTGTTCCCTACAGGACCATCAAACTGTGGGATCTGGAAAAGTTCAAGATGATTGGCTCTTCAGAGGGAGAGATGGGACCAGTCAGGTAAGGGCTACCTTCACTAAGTGTAGTTGGTGGGACACCGCGATATTAGAAGTTCAGATGCAACTAACACTCTATACTGTATATAAACTATCCCTACATCCTTTTTCCTCTTCCCCCATTTCTCTCTCCAGGTGTCTGGCCTTTAACCTGGATGGCTGCTGTCTGTACAGTGGAGCTGTGGACTCTCTGCGTGTCTATGGCTGGGAGCCCGACCGCTGCTTTGACGTGGTGCCAGTGGGCTGGGGCAAGGTGGCAGACCTGGCTATCTGCAACCACCAGCTGGTGTGTGAGCATGACATTTACTTTTTAAATGTTTTACATTTGAGTAATTTAGCAGACACTTATCCAGAACGACTTACAGTTAGTGTATTCATCTTAAGATGGCTAGGTGAGACAACCACATTTCAGTCATTGTAATTACAGTTAGTGTTTATTATTATTATTATTTTTTGTGGGGGGTGGAGTTACTATTTTAATGTTACTGTTACTGTGTTACATAGTAATACCAATGGATGCTCTCTCTCCAAGATTGGCGTGTCGTACAATCTGACGAATGTTTCGTCCTACGTGGTGGATCTCACGCGGGTGAGGAAGTCTGGCTCTGTGATCCAAGGCGTAATCCAGGACGACCAGCCGCTCACAGAGCCCTCCCCGAAAGGATCCACGCTGCGACGCAACTACGACCGACCCCTGACCACCTGCAGCACACAGAGGTACTGCCCACTTCTAAATGCCGCTATACCTACTTTCTATGGAGCGAATCCTAACCCTAACGTGAGTTGGGCACACGTAACTCAGATTAAGCCCTATATGCTACAGAATCTGTTTCAACAAAATCACATATGAGCTGATTCAAATCATAGTGGTTCAAATCATGTGGTCCTCTGTAGCTGAGTTGGTAGAGAATGGGGCTTGCAATGCCAGGTGGCTTCCATTCCCGGGTCCACCCATATATAAAATGTATGCACGCTGCTAAATGGCATATGTTATAGCAAATACAGCATCCATTGGTTTCCGTTGTATCAATAAGCAGACTATTTGATGTGTGGTTTTGGGGTGTGCTCTTCCAGGGTAAAGCAGAGTTCTGAGTCAGACCGGCGCAGTCCAGAGGGGGAGAGGAGGAGCCCCAGCAGTGAGGACGAGAAGGAGTCCTCCGCCGAGATCCGTAACCCTGAGGACTACAAGGAGATCTTCCAGCCAAAGAGCGCCATCTGTAGTCTCATATTACGTCTTACGTTTGATTGCTATCTATTCAGTGTTCACACTAACAGCAGAATGCATGTATTACTACATGAACATCTAGCAGTGTCTTAATCACGCTTGAATTTCATACTAAAAGTCTCCTTGTTTCCCCCTTCCAGCTCGCACCCCCCCAAAGAGTGAGCCATTCCCTGCGCCTTTAGAAGATGGTGAGTACCTTCTACCAAGCTGTTAGTATGAGCAGTATTACATGTGTTTGTGATAAAACTATCACATTGATCTGTTGTGTATGAGATGTTGCTGTCCGAAGTTTCATATTCAAGTTCTTTTTTTAGGTGTATTTTGTTATTCATGTATTATATAGAAGTACAGAATGGGAGACATGTAATGGAGATGGGTACAGAAAGGAAGGGCACAGACAGTCAGTCGAGCCGGGGCTCGAACCACCGTCGTCAAGGGGCATGTGGGGTCCGCTTTACCAGACTGCGCCACTCATATTCAAGTTCTCTCTCCCTCTTTTTCTCAGAGAGTTTTGTGGTGAGGGCTAACCAAGGGCTGGTGGAGCTCATGACTCCTATGATTGACAGACAGCAGGTTTGTACTGTATAGCTGTACTGTTGTATGTGTGACTCATTTGTGTTTTTGTAATGCTTGAGTGTGTATGTGGGATTGGCTCTGTCAGTGTGTGAGTTTCTCTATGTAAATACGTTAGATTTGTTTCTTGTGTGTGTCACTGCAGCCCGGCCTGTTGAAGAACCTTCCAGTGGCCTCGTCCACTCCGGTCCTGAGGGTGGAGCCTACCGTGGTCGCCACGGCGCCCCGTCCCATCCCCGTGGTAACCGCACGATCTCCGACCTCTAACCACCCCCCTGCACCCCACCCAGCCCCCCCACCGGTCGTTGCTATGGCGAAGGCCAAACCCCAGCCTAGCGTCATCCTCTCCACCAGGAATGAACCAATAGGACTCAACGTGGGAGATTTCCTGCCTGTGAGTGTGTGTATATACATGCATAACACACACACAATCTTGTTTGTTTCATTTCCCATGGAGAAATTTCACTCAAAAAAGACATCACAATTTGTATGGTTAAAATCAAATGTATTTATAAATAATAAAAACATATTTTCTTATCTTAGTTCTAATACTACTAAAAAATAAATAATATTCAACAGTCCATTCACAGTAGAGGCCCTCATTCTTCACTCACCCAAGTCTTTCTCCTCTGCTCCTGCTGGCTCTTTCTGATGTCACTGATCAGTCTGCCTAGGGTTTCCCTCACACCCACACTGTATAAGTGAACCCTGCGCTCCACCTCCATGTGCCAGTTGGCCAGGCAGAGTTGCTCCAGCTCAGGCAGGTGCTGGCTGTGCTAGCGGATAATCGCTATGTTTCTGAGCTCGTACCTCCAGTACTGCTCGCACTCCCAGAAACTCAGGCTGGCCACCTGCACAGGCTGAGGAGGGGTAAAATTTAAATAAAGTCATAAGTACATACAAAAATCTGATTTTTGATTTAATATGAACCAGTGTAGATGGTAAGGTACTTCTACCTAACATACTGTGTGAGGAGTGTACCCAGGAAGATAGTGATGCTCCTGTGTCATCCATGGTATAGACTGGTCAAATTGCTGTTGCCAGAAGCTGATTTTTGAGAAATCTATCAATCTTAGATAGCAGATGCTAGTCGCATGTGTTGTCTTTTGAATGTATTATTTATTTATTTATTTTTATTTAACTAGGCAAGTCAATTAAGAACAAATTCTTGGTTGCCACCAAAACTGAGTTGGCACCTAACAACAAAGATTGCTATACATTCAATTGTGATATAAGATTCAAATGTATTCTTACGGTTTAGAATTGTCATGGAACTGTTTCAAATCAACACATTTGTTTGTGAGGTCATCAAATTAAAATGAAAGTGTTTTTGCCATCTAGAATCGTCATGGCAATGGAATTTAGTATATAAGTTAATGTTTTTATTACATTCATATAGCAGTCAATACAAACTGAAATCCATGAACATACAATTTATTAATACACATACAAGTAGCTAAAGAACATACAAGTAAACAGAATCATGAAGCCAGAATAATTACTGAAGCAAAGTCAAGAAGTCGGCATGGGAGCTGAAGCAGCTTCTTTTGGTAGCATCGAGCGGTGGGAGGCAGAATCACGGTCCCAGGGATGGAGCAGCATGACGGTCACAGCCAGGGGGGAATAGTGGGTCAGGAGACGGGTCCGGAATGATTCAGGAGAGCACCTTGCCGTCCTCACAGCTATCCCGTAGCCTAGCCACTTGACTTTGTAGGTAGAAAGACCGCTAGCTAGCTACTCCTTCACTGCCAACAGGTAGCACCCACCTGGATGATGCCCTGGCAGCTGCTGCCGGCGCCAGTAGATCAGAGTGGAATGATAGTCCTCCTATTATTAGCCTCTGACATCACCGAACACCTCTGCCATCTCCACTGTCTTTAACTTCGGACTTCTTCTCGACTACAAGCCCCATAAGATAAACTGGATATAGAATTAAATGGAACACAAATAGTAATTTAATGCATATCTGATACTGATCAACATGTAAAATCAGCTCAACATTGAACCCACCATAGTGATACAGTTTAAATTCACACAGAAATGCTGGTACGCATCAAAAATTACAAAAACAAGATGGTCAGCTTTTTAAATATTTAACACATGCACAGAAATGGAATTGACCCCTAACTTTATGTAGGTTTAGGTATGATTGTGTGTGTGTGTGTATTTACCAGGTTATGTAAGTTTATCTCTCTCTGTCCAAGCCTGCTCGGAACAACCGGCCCAGTGTGCTGGGTGATGACGAGGCTCTGGCCCAGATCAGAAAGGGCCATGACACCATGTGTGTGATGCTCACCAGCCGACACAAGAACCTGGACACCATCAGAGCTGTGTGGGGCAGCGGGGACGTCAAGGTATGACACTTAACAGACAACGCTAACACAACATTCACACACCGTTAACATTGCGCAACACCCCATGCTCAAGGTTCAGACAATGTTCATGCAATGTTAACATCACTTGAAATAAATAATTACAGTGAGGGGAAAAAAGTATTTGATCCCCTGCTGATTTTGTACGTTTGCCCAACTGACAAAGAAATGATCAGTCTATAATTTTAATGGTAGGTTTATTTGAACAGTGAGAGACAGAATAACAACAAAAAAATCCAGAAAAACGCATGTCAAAAATGTTATAAATTGATTTCCATTTTAATGAGGGAAATAAGTATTTGACCCCCTCTCAATCAGAAAGATTTCTGGCTCCCAGGTGTCTTTTATACAGGTAACGAGCTGAGATTAGGAGCACACTCTTAAAGGGAGTGCTCCTAATCTCAGCTTGTTACCTGTATAAAAGATACCTGTCCACAGAAGCAATCAATCAATCAGATTCCAAACTCTCCACCATGGCCAAGACCAAAGAGCTCTCCAAGGATGTCTGGGACAAGATTGTAGACCTACACAAGGCTGGAATGGGCTACAAGACCTTTGCCAAGCAGCTTGGTGAGAAGGTGACAACAGTTGGTGCAATTATTCGCAAGTGGAAGAAGCACAAAAGACCTGTCAATCTCCCTCGGCCTGGGGCTCCATGCAAGATCTCACCTCGTGGAGTTGCAATGATCATGAGAACGGTGAGGAATCAGCCCAGAACTACACGGGAGGATCTTGTCAATGATCTCAAGGCAGCTGGGACCATAGTCACCAAGAAAACAATTGGTAACACACTACGCCGTGAAGGACTGAAATCCTGCAGCGCCCGCAAGGTCCCCCTGCTCAAGAAAGCACATATACAGGCCCATTTGAAGTTTGCCGATGAACATCTGAATAATTCAGAGGAGAACTGGGTGAAAGTGTTGTGGTCAGATGAGACTAAAATCGAGCTCTTTGGCATCAACTCAACTCGCGGTGTTTGGAGGAGGAGGAATGCTGCCTATGACCCCAAGAACACCATCCCCACCGTCAAACATGGAGGTGGAAACATTATGCTTTGGGGGTGTTTTTCTGCTAAGGGGACAGGACAACTTCACCGCATCAAAGGGACGATGGACGGGGCCATGTATCGTCAAATCTTGGGTGAGAACCTCCTTCCCTCAGCCAGGGCATTGAAAATGGGTCGTGGATGGGTATTCCAGCATGACAATGACCCAAAACACACGGCCAAGGCAACAAAGGAGTGGCTCAAGAAGAAGCACATTAAGGTCCTGGAGTGGCCTAGCCAGTCTCCAGACCTTAATCCCATAGAAAATCTGTGGAGGGTGCTGAAGGTTCGAGTTGCCAAACGTCAGGCTCGAAACCTTAATGACTTGGAGAAGATCTGCAAAGAGGAGTGGGTACAAAATCCCTCCTGAGATGTGTGCAAACCTGGTGGCCAACTACAAGAAACGTCTGACCTCTGTGAATGCCAACAAGGGTTTTGCCACCAAGTACTAAGTCATGTTTTGCAGAGGGGTCAAATACTTATTTCCCTCATTAAAATGCAAATCAATTGATAACATTTTTGACATGCGTTTTTCTGGATTTTGTTGTTATTCTGTCTCTCACTGTTCAAATAAACCTACCATTAAAATTATAGACTGATCATGTCTTTGTCAGTGGGCAAACGTACAAATCAGCAGGGGATCAAATACTTTTTTCCCTTACTGTACTTGACTTTCAATGTTAAACTCAGACACATCCTTCAACTGACAGACGATCAGTTTTGATTGATCAGCTGTTTGTGGCATCAAGTATGGAGAGATGTTACTGGTTGCCTTTAGGTGTTTTTTGAGTGATTTGAGTATTGTGATTGGTTGCTGCTCTCTCTTCAGACCTCCTTGGACTCGGCTGTCTCGATGAAGGATCTCTCTATCGTCGTGGACATCCTCAACATCGTTAACCTCAAACCGTGAGTGGATGTTGAAACGCACGTCCACACACAAACCATTACAGATCTTATTTGGCTAAGGAGGCCACACGCATACTCTCACTGTCTCTCTTGGTGTTGGTATGAGTACCATGACTGTCCTCTTAAGTCATTTGACCTGTCCCCCAGGTCGCTATGGAAACTGGACCTGTGTACTGCTATCCTGCCCCAGATTGAAGAGCTGCTGCAAAGCAAGTATGAGAGGTGAGACAGCAGAGATGAGTGATAACAAATCTGTGTGTGTATTTTTATAAATGTGTATTAACCTTCTTCTCTCTCTGTGTGGTCAGTTATGTGCAGACGGGTTGCATGTCTCTGAAGTTGATCCTGAAGCGTTTCTGGCCTCTCATCTCAGACACCCTGACAGCGCCCCCCTCTGTCGGAGTGGATATAACACGGGAGGAACGGTGAGTTTCGGCCCCATTTAAATCCTAAACTGGCTTGTACTTTTAACCATCTAACTGTAGTGTGTTAATGCAATGGTCACTAATCCTGGAGAGTTAAACTATGCAGCCCATCACTAAAGAATCATTGTTCTTAAGGGTTCTAGCTCCGTATTCATCCAGTATTGCTTTGGATGGCCTTATTGCTTTAAGAAAGACTCAGATACATTTGGATAGAGTTCAGACTCTGCCACAGTGAGACAGGCCATTTCCATTGCAGATTGTGATTAATGGTTTATTTGTGTTTGAGCCCAGCCACCAGAAGTGCAAGGCATGCTACAAGCAGCTGAAGAACCTCAGCAACGTGGTGAAGAACAAGGCCGACCAGGTGGGTCGCCACGGCAGCGCCTTCAAAGAGCTGCAACTGCTCATGGCCCCACTGGACTACTGACAGTCGACTATGCAATTGGAGACATGCACAGATCCACAGACCCAAAATGGCTGAGCACTGTGCTGTGAGGACTCCAGTCCGACTGACTGATGGCTGCATTCTCTCATCTACCGGAGTGGTAAATCAGGGGACAATCACAGATTCACACTGCGTGTGGATGGACTGAAGCAGTGGACTCAGAGACTGAGCGGGATATGAGTCCTGTGTCCAGAAGGAGTCCATGTTAGAACTCATGGAGTAGCTGTGTGCTCAGGACGCAGCTCTCCTATTTAAACACTGGGCACTTATGATTCCTTAATCTGTGTGAGAGTATGTGTTTGTGTGAGAAATGATGTCCTCTGTGACCTTGACTTGCCCACCACAGATGAGCACACACACTTTTCATAATTCCTTCCACGCACACAAACACCTATGGCACACAGCCCTGACTAGGGCCGGGTTTCAATCCATTTGTGGGTTATAGGCATTGCCTTTAAAAGCCGCAATGTTCACGCGGAGATCCTATTCACAGGAAAGGCTGCATATGTCGGCTTAATCGGAAATTGCCTATAACCTGCCATCGGATTGAAACCCAGCACGTGTTCAGGTGATTGAAGCACTGATGGGTGTACGGTGTGATTTCTATTTAAATATTCTCTCAATCTTTTTCTACATTCTGTACCTGAGATGTCGACCCTAGATGCACTCTTTGAAAGTATTGTTAACACTAAAAGAACATGTTTTTCAAAAAAAAAGGATTGTTTAAAAAGGAAGGAATCTAGCTTTAGGCATGTTTCTGGAGTTGATCAGCAACAAGACTTCCGGAATTGAAAGGAACAACGCTTGTTAGATGTGTGTAATTCCACTCCAACAGAGAGCAGCACTGTTCTAGCTGGTTGGGAAGGTACTGTTTGAAAGGTGCTAAATTAAACGAACAAGGCAGACTAGCCCATCCACCACTCCATAGTGTGAAATGTATAGGGCACAGGGTCATGTTTAAGGGTTCTTGTAGAATCAGTTGCAACCATAGTTATACGGTGATCACAACTTTGTATTGGTCCCATTGTGGCATCTGTGAGCACATGGGCAGCGCCATCTCCATTTTGAAATAGTCCATTTTCTTCTGAGTTGGTAAATAAACTGAAAGGGTGCATACAGTCACCTGGAATGTGTTTAAACAGGTGTCAAGGTTGTCGATTTACTGCCATCAGCAGTTATGGAACGTTTGCTCACGAGTATAATTCATTGGCTGATCCCTCCTGATGACCTGGATGGAATTGTGATCCTTACTTAACCCATAGGAAGTCCCACCCAGTTGATTACTTCAAAATGTTGAAAGGCCTCAATGGCACCACAGATTATCTGGTCAATGTAATGGATACACTAGTGGCCGCTCTAACACATGAAACGTCTTAAACTGGAAGGCAGTCGGGAGGAGGCAAGATCAGGTGGGACCATTCTAGCCAATGAGAGGGCAGATACAGGCACAACGGTTTCCACAGTCAAAATTGGCTTTATCATAGTAATTCATGAAAACAAAAAATTGCTTTTTGGTTTTAATTTAAGGTTAGCTGTGTGGTTAAGGTTAGATTTAAAATAAGAGAAATTGTAGAAATAGGCAGGGTTTATAACCAGGCACAACGGCGACTGTTTAAAAATTTTTTATTGCCGGGATGTCACGTGTCCTACTTATAATCAGTATGAAACTACTATTTCGATCAAATAAGCCATTACATCTTTTTGTTAACCAAATTCGACTCCATACAAAAAAAATGCCACCTGCAAGAACTCAGTCCGGCTTTAAACTTCCTCTTCAAAGTTGTAATAGCAGAATACACAAGGTGCAATTTCGAAATTGGGTAGTGCATCATCAGTTCCTCTTTTCATGTTAGTCATTGCATACATTTACATTTTAGTAATTTAGCAGACACTCTTATCCAGAGCGATTTACAGGAGCAATTAAGGGCACCAACAGATTTTTCAGTCAGCTATGGGATTCGAACAAGCCACCTTTCAGTTACTGGCCCAACGCTCTTAACCGCTAGGCTACCTGCCACATACCTTAAAGAGCTATTGATAGTAAAATAAAATTGTCACTCAAACATCACATGAACACACAGACATGGCAAAATGTGTAGAATTGCAGGAAATAAGCTTTAAACCTGCAAAATCCTCAAAACCAACAAGAGGGGTGTGAACAGTTTGTCATGAACAGTGTTGGCTCAAATGCATTAAGGAGGAAAGAAATCCCACAAATTAACTTTTAAGAAGGCACACCTGTTAATTGAAATGCATTCCAGGTGACTACCTCATGAAGCTGGTTGAGAGAATGCCAAGAGTGTGCAAAGCTGTCATCGAGGCAAAGGGTGGCTATTTGAAGAATGTCAAATATAAAATATTTTGGTTTAACACTTTCTTGGTTACTACATGATTCCATATGTGTTATTTAATAGTTCTGATGTCTTCACTATTACTCTTCAATGTAAAAAATAAAGAAAAACACTTGAATGAGTAGGTGTGTCCAAACTTTTGACTGGTAGAGTATATAACCTCTAGAAAGCAGCATATTTCAAAAAACATCTGTTAGAGACCTGTGCTCTATAGAGACGGCATAAGAAGACAGTTGAGTTTCATTTGGTATTGAGTGTTTATTAAAAAGGGTGTACAAAAACAACACTGTAGAAACCTACGGCGGCAACAACAAGGACAAAAGCAAGCAAACCATCAACACGATGCAGCGTGTCCTCAATGATTCCTCGGACATCCTGGTATTGGAGGGAACATTGGTTTAACATTGAAGAAACACTGTCGATTAGCTGATATGTACTGATCGATCAGTTGATCAAATGTACTAAGCATTCCTATTTACACTGGATGCATTTTCAAACGCAGTTCACAAGCTTATCACTCCCTCAGGGGCAGCAGTTTCTGCAGCTACATGTGTCTGTTCAGTGAGGTGATCCGTTGTCATTGGCAGCTTGTGGTCAGCCATAGGGAGTAGGATAAAGTGGTCCTGGATGCGGATCTAGGGTCAGTTTTGTGTCCCTATTGGATAACCTTAGGATTTGGGTAGAATAAACTGATCCTAGATCTGTGCCTCTGGGCAACTTCAACCTGCAGCATCCAATAACAGGAATGGCATTTCCTGTCTGGCAGGGAGTTTGAATCGGTCTAGCTTTATTCGCTCGGTACAAGAAACACGACAACATATCCAGGAACATGAACGTTTCCATGCAGTAGGCTCTGTATTGCCCTGGAGAAATCTAATCTAAAACACAAACGGCTACACAGGAAGTTAAAAGCTCTCCGCACTCACGTCTCTTATTGCTCGCATCCTATTGGGTAAAAGAAGCCCAGCTCTATATCTGTGGAGTACCCTGATTGGATGAGGGGGAGAAAGTGTGGAAGGAGACCGGGATGGAACCCTCGTAAAAAACACACAAAAAAACAACGGAGGCTAAAGGGATTAAAAACATCTCAAACACACAGATATATACTGTATATGCATATTATCATAATCCGTAACTGGAGCATTGTTAGAAAACACATCAAGAAGGTAACAGCCTCGTTTAAAGTGCATTTTTACCCAGAAATACTGTGATTGGAAGGTCTATACTGTTAGTTGATGATGGGACGAAGGGATTGGTTAGCACTAGGGGTGTGGGTGTGGCGTTATTGTGAGGGGTGGGGAGAGCAAGTCCATTGGCCAATGGGAGAATAGATCACAGGCCCGGTTGAAGGGTCAAAGGTGAAGGAGTGAAAGGTGGGGTGGAGTTGTTCTGGGCTGTGAGGAGTAAAGGGTTTCTTTATGAGAGTTGTTTTTAGGACAGGGGCCTGTGTTACTCTCAGGTGCTCCTCCCCTTTGGCCCCTAGTCAGGTGTGGAAGACAGACTGTCCTGTAGTCACTTGCAGTCTGGTGTGTGTTTCCTTGAGGGGTATAGACGAGGACACGTAGTTAAGATATAGGAGGCTGTATAACAATCCTGGCTAAAATTAACACCTGTCCATTCCTTTCAGCTATCAGTAGTAATGAAGAAAAGGAGACCTGGAGGCCATTTTTAGAGCATTGGGACAGTCTTGGTATGCAGCATGAGGCGGCCTTCCATGGGGGTCAAAGTTTCTATCCCCCTCTTCATCCCTCTGCTGTTCAAATAGCTCAATAAATGAAATGTCACCGTTCTCTCAATCTGATTGATCAGATCTGATCGGTCAGATCTGATAATTTGCCTAGTCCAGTTGCTCTCACCCATTGGCTGAGTGAGATCAGCAGAAGGAGAGAGGGCTGATAGCGGATAGGTTGTTCCCAAAGCAGAGAGTTTCTATTGTTGGGTCAAGGTACTGGTTAACACCCTCCTGTTCAGAGGGCCCAATGGCTGACTGGGTCAGGATCCGGGTTCATTCTGGATCCATTGGAGCCTTCAGACAGACAGTTTCAATCGTCCTGTAGGGGAAGAGTAATACTGTGAATCATGGGGAGTGGTGTCCCTGTGTTAATAACAGCTCACTACAACCCAGCCATAGAGCAGCACAGATGGGGGAGAGGAAGAGGTGATGTATCCACAGATTCCACACACACACACCAAATCCATATAGACAAGACACACAAACACCATCACATCATACAATATGCAGATCACACAAATAAGAATTGCATTCAGACCGTCAGTCACAGACAAAATCACAGACAGCTACAGACAGACAGTCAGAAGTCAGACAGCCAGACAATCACAGACCTGTACGGACACCTTCACCCACACACACATGGATCTGCAGATAGACAAACAAAGCTTGCAGTCTCTCACACACAGACAAAGGGACAAGAGTCAAGACCCACACAAAAAGTTTACAATCGCACGACTTCCTGATGTTAGAGGCGGGGTGTGTTAGATAGGTGGGCATTGACCAGGTGACACAGGTGGGCACTGGGCACCATGCCATGCTGAGCATTTACTTTCCATGCCAAGCGACCAATCAGCATAAACCCCACCTACCTGCCCACCGTCTCCCACCAATGGGCTGGCTCTGCCTAACAGCCTGTCTGCAAACCAACCAATCAGACCAGAGGATCAGGACACAGAGGAGTGAACGGATTCACACTGACCATTCACACCTCACTTGAGTTCACTTTGTTTGTGTATATCTTTTTTATATCATCCCAATAATGGTGGCATAAGGTGGTGTGTGTGTGTGTGTGTATGGGGTGTGTGTACATGTTAGTGTTGTTGTATATTAATGGGTCCCAGGGTTCATGATGACAGAGGACATTTCAAGAGAGGCATGTGTACCTGTTGAGACCTGGGACTAAGGGGTGTGTATATGTGTGTACATACATTTACCTGTTGAGAGCTGGGACTGAGACCTCCGTCGTGTGTTGGGGGTTTTGGAGGAGGCGGAGAGGGTGGAGCCGGCACTGCTGGCCCGGGAGATGGGGAGGGGCACGGGAGTCACCGGGGGAGAGTCCAGCTGCAGAAAGGTCAAAGGTCAATTATAGAAACATCAATACCAAAGTTCAAGTTCCTCATTCAACCCCATTCCGCTAAGGATCCTGTCTAACTGGATTACGATTGTTTCTCTGCTTCTCTGTTTCGCGCTCATCTACTGCAGTCAGGGGTTAAAGCAAAATCCCATGACTGCAACTTAAGTCGATCTCAGATCGATTGTCTGGGGCCAAGTTAACCTCCCATTTCATGTAAGAAAGTCATGACCATCATGCTTTTAGGGAAAGAGGATAATTTAAAATGTGAGTTTGACCAATTCCAGTCCCCTTGCTTAGGGGGTTCGGGGCACTCCCCCGGATCATTTGAATGTAGAAGGACTGAAGATCAGTTCTAGTTACTTTTTAAAAGGACATTCTACTCCAAAATTAATGAAAATAAAATGATGCAGACACCTGACATTACCAGGTTCTGACCACTAGATGGTGTCATGACTTGCTGAAATGGAACGACCCTGCTGCAAGCTTGCAAGTTCCATTTACATTTTACATTTACGTTATTTAGCAGACGCTCTTATCCAGAGCGACTTACAGTTAGTGAATACATATATATATATTTTTTTTATATATACTGGCCCCCCGTGGGAATCGAACCCACAACCCTGGCGTTGCAAACGCCATGCTCTATCAACTGAGCTACATCCCTGCCGGCCATTCCCTCCCCTACCCTGGACGACGCTGGGCCAATTGTGCGCCGCCCATGAGTCTCCCGGTCGCGGCCGGCTGCGACAGAGCCTGGATTCGAACCAGGATCTCTAGTGGCACAGTTTGCACTGCGATGCAGTGCCTTAGACCACTGCGCCACTCAGGAGACATAGTTCCACTATCTATACAGGTGTAAACACTTCTCAAACCCAGACTGGATGCATCTATTATGCATTTGAATGCAGGCTCTGTCTGTCATTAACTCTGCAGTTTTCATCTGATGAAAGCAGTGTTTTGAATGGTCATCTGTTGAAATGATCTACTAAATGAACAAAGTGCATAACTTATCATAAACTAAGTGGTCACCAGGAATGGTCCATAATAATCCGTCATCACCTTTCCTGAATGTGTAAAATCTCTGCACCATTTAGTGGTCAGAACCTGGTAATATGAATATGTAGAATGGGACATAAACCTAACAACTTCAATCACTAATTTCTCTGAACAGGAGAAAAAATCCCATCACCAAATTCAGAACAATCTGAGATGGTGGGTGTCGAAATCCTCTTTCTTGTTATTTTTGAGGTGGAATGACCAGGAATGCTAATCTTATCTGTTTCTATCTACAGAAACGATGTCGGAACAATCTGAGATGGTGGGTGTCATTGCTTGCTAAAAAGAAATGACCCAGATGCTTTTTGGAGATAACCTTTTCAAACATCCTGAGCCTACTAGATCTTCTTTGCTAGAAAGTGGGTTTCCTAAAACAACTGCTTTGTGTTCAGATCTGCCTAACCCATTCCCGACCTGGATCATTAAGGGCAGAGGGACAGAATGAAATCTGATGCCCCAGATTGGGCTCAGTGATCTGGGGAAGGTTTGACGTAAGGCCTGGGCTGACCTAGCACACGTGTGTGAGATTTCATGTGTGAGTGCATCCCTCACTCTCTCGTTGGTGTGTGTGTAGGTTACCTCCACGCTGTCATGGGTGGGCGAGGAGGAGGTGGAGGAGTTCTCCAACTGTCTCCTGGTGGCGTTGCCCAGCTCGATGGTCCGTACCCGCTGGGCAAACTTCAGAGAGCACACCGACTCACTCATGTTACTGACCAGGGGAGACACCTAGAGAAAATACCTTCTGATATTAGCCTGAAGGCTAGCATTGATGGCATCAAGCATCGATGGTTTTATTGTAGGCTAATAACAATTTAATTTGAAACCCCTTACCCCCCACCCCTCTCTCCCTCCCCAATCCCTCTCACACCCTCCTGTACCCCTCCCTCTCTCACCTGCACCATCATCAGGGTCTTGCTGTCCCCGCTCAGTGAGTCAGACAGCAGGTAGGTGAGCCGGGAGTTCCTGAAGGGCACGTGGGAGTGTCGGCTCCGCAGCGCATTGATGACGTCACCAAGGGCCGACAGGGACTTATTGATGCACTGGGCCTCTCGCAGGCGGCTGCCCTCTGCCCCGGATTTAGCAATCCGCTCTGAGCCAGCCAGGTCAACCAGGTTCAGCTTACCTAGCAGAGGTTGTACAGAGATAAAATCCTGAATGAGTGTGTGTGTGTGTGTGTGTGAGTGTGTGTGTGTGTGTGTGTGTGTATGTGTGTGTACCTTGTGTGCAATGTCCAGTACAGGAATTGTGTGTTTGTGTACCTTGCGTGCGGTGCCCGGTGGAGGAGTTGAAGCCTGCTACGGTGATGATGAGGAGGGCGTGAGAGCGGGAGCTGTGTTCGTTCAGATTGGTGCAGGCCGTGGCCCTGTTCATGTGACCCAGCTCAAACACCTACACAGAGGGCACAGGCCAGGGGTTAGAGGTCAGGGGTCATAGGAAGTGAATAACTGCTCTGTCATATGCACATGGAAGAACACACAAACACACAGGAGCAGATTTCAATCATTAACACACAAACTAATCTGTAGACTAGAGGCAAATCCCGGCTTGGGCACATTCCACTGGCTCAGGGAACACAAGATCTCTGTCAGACATTTCAGGATGAGAACTCAGCCTCAGGCCTAAGAACCGTGGGAGCCATCTTAATAACTGACGCATGATTGTAAACAATGCCCAATAACAGCTTTCTCTACACATCTGTATTTAATTGGAAAACACTACTGATGGAAAAGTATTGCTTTGGGGTTTAGGCCAGGAATACAATTTGGCACTTTGTGACTGGTAAGTAACACCATATGAACAAAATGTGATTGATTGACACACTGATTGCAGATCAGAGCACACTTATGGACATCGGACACAAAGCTACCCTGTGGCAGGCATAGTATAAGTGGCAGTAGTTGAACGGTGGCCTCACCCTGTTGATGTCCTCAGGGCTCTGGACAGTGAACTCCGTGAGGCCCGGTACATAGAGCTGACCGCTACCGTCTGGGTTCATCTTGATGTCCAGCTTCTCACCCTGGTTGTCCCCCAAAAGGTTCCTACAGAAAACAACAGCAACGCACTGTCACAAAGATGGTTCCCACTCAAAGAAAAATACTGTCTTAAAATGATACGCATACAGCACTACTTTGGGTGTATGGTGACGTTTGATATTTGTCCTATGATATCCCCCAACAACATTCGGCAGATAGAGCAATAGATGGATAACTAGATAGATACATAGATAGCTCAAATTAACAAAAACGATCAAGATAATCTGTAGTCGACTCTCCAACTAAGTGGGGCCAAAATGGCTTCTTTCATGCGCTATGATATTCCACCCCTCTTCTCGTGGTGCGTCCTGCCGTCATGCTTTGGCAGAAAGGACACACAGATGTTCAGAGATTATGCAACAGAGAGAGGGAGGGATAGAGGGAGGAAGGGGATAGAGGGAGGGAGGGAGGAGAGGAGCTCTTGTATTCAACAGATGAATCAAGGACATTATATATAATCCACTTTTATATAACTGCTGGCCCATGCACTCAAATTGCTTACACACATGCACACAGGAACTGTGTGAAAGACAGCTTAGGTCTAAATTACAATGAAATAACGCTTGAGCCGTGATCTAAAAAAGCCTTCTCATAATGGTACGTATTGTAACTACATCACCCTTGCTTCACCTCTGTCATTGTGTAACCTCTGAGGCAAGGCTGCACATGCACCTGCACTCAAATCCAAACCCACTCACCCTCTCTGACCTTATACTGATATGTGTGTGTGTGTGTGTGTGTGTGTGTGTCCTCACCGTAGGGTCTCGTTGTAGATCTCCACCATGCTAACAGTGATCTTGAAGTCCCAGTCGGGTGCTTTCTCAGTCACCTCAGAGAACAGCAGTCTGAGAGCCCTCTGGTTAATGCCCGGGTCCTTGGCCACACCCTAAAGAAAAGGACAGACAAGACATTTGCTATTAACAATCACTACAACACATCTCTTAATTTCTATCTAACCTTAATTTATCTCCTGTAGCCATGAGAGAGGAGGAGAGAGAGTGAAAGTGTGTGTGTGTGTGTGTATATATTAGCAGCGAGTACCTCCATGGTGTAGGTCTTTCCTGAGCCCGTCTGTCCGTAGGCGAAGATGCACACGTTAAAGCCATCAATACAGGACGTCACCAGGGACTGGACCTCCTGGAACACCTGGTTAGCCAATCAGAGAGGATTACAGCTGTTGTGATTGGTGACAGTAAACCCTTAGAATATATATAGACCGCAACATCCTTGTGGTATATCGCGATAATCTAAAGGGGCTTCCTCATGTCATTTCCTTCATCTGTGCTGATGAGAAACATCTTATGTTGCTTTTACCTGTGGTGCGTTTTCAGATCATTAAAGATGACGGCAAGGGAGCCACTTTAGACTATTGAGATGTACTCCAAGTCATGATGTTCTACTGACCTCTTCCTGTGTGGCCTGAGGGTGGAACACCTTGTCCAGTTCAAAGGTCATCAGTTTGCCTTTGTTGGAGAGGTAGAGAAGGGCATCGTCGTCTGGGTCAAAGCTGACCATGTTTTCGGCAGAATCACGCTCCCCTCGGCACACCGGCCGCACCCGACAGAACACCCTGATGTTACCTGGGAAGAGCAGGCAGAAGAGACACATTACAATACTGTTTTGGGACAACAAATGCAAAGATACACTGCTTTTGAACAGAATCGATCTGTTATGTACACAGATGCACCTGTGGAATCAACTGGATGTACTAGCTAGTATGAACGACTGATATCCCACACACCTCTCAGTATGCACAGTCAAGGGGGTCGTACCTTTGAGGCGCACCAGCTCGTTGTGGCACTTCTTCCTCAGGTTCATCTCTCTCTTGTACTTCCTCAGCAGCTCTTGGTTGGCACTGCTCACCTCGCCTATCACCTGGCAGATCTCCTGCTTGGCCTCGGTGATGGCCTTCTCCAGCATTAAGGGGAAGTCCTGCACCTGTCTCTTCAGACAGTTGTAGTCACAGGTGAGAGTACGCAGGGCTGGCTGCAGGGTCAAAAGGTTCATACGCACACCTGGGGACAGGGAGGGATACACACACACACACATTTTGTTATAACAGTGAATAATGACAAAAATAAAACAGAGCATACAAAAATTCCTGGGTCATATTCATTACGAAGGCCAACAAAATAGAATAAAACCTGATGTTGTCCAGTAAGAAAATCACTTTTGTTTTTTGATGGAAAATGTTTCACTTCGGTGTGCCCTAATGAATACCGTCCAGGACTGCGGTGTGCATACACGCAAATGCAAAAAGCACATAGTCCTAAACGTTCGGCTTACCTGCCAGGTTCTCATGCACAGCCTTCATCTCGCTTTCGGCCCTGATGAAGGCCTCCTCTATCACCCTGTTCTTCTCCTCCTCCAGGTTCTGCATTTCAGCCTCCAACTGGCCCTGGGCTCGCTCCATCTCCCCCTCGTACACCAGTATCTACAGGGGACAGAGAGAGAGTTTAGAGAGGGTTGGAAATGGAGATTGGAGTAGATCTTGGGACCATACCAACACACCACACTGGTCTGGATGGGGACTGGAGCGTGTTTGGTGGTCTACCTGGAGCTAAGGGATGAGAGCTAAAAGCTAGCATAAAAGCTAACACTGGAACTCAGATCTAATAGCTACCAGGGCATTTGAGCTAAGGGCTTCAAATGTCCCACAACATCTAAAATCTGAAGCCTATAACTAACAGATGGAACTAATTAAAAGTTAGCTCCCAGCAAAACCATAGGGGTTTGCTTCTTCTCAGCTACAGGATACATTAATGGGTTCACAATGTGTTGTGAACCATCATTACAGCTAAAAGCTAATCCAAAACAACCACACACTGCACCCCCCACACAAGACTGGAGGACCCTAGAACAGATTTAGGGTACAGTTTATACGTGTCACTACAGAACACAGGGTTTTGGTGGGGGGTTGAAACCACACAGATGTTCGGGGAGCTGGTGCCTGAGACACAGGAAGTGATGTAGTGGAAAACAGGACGCACTATGAGGGGCCTAATGTGGCTATCAAGGGGGGCCAACCTTAGACAACCTGCAAATGACCTCGCCATTGCCCCTTCCGACGGCCTTGGAGAGCAGGCCGCAGATACGGCCGCGGTCTGCACGCAGCTGGAACCAAACGTAAGCGAAGAGAGAGGGGTTAACACGGACCATGCCTCTACAGGGGAGGGGATGGGACGAGGGTCAAACCAATCACCTCTACTGGGAGGGAAGGGTGTTTTTGTGAAGGACCGTACCACCACAATCTACTACAAGGGGGTGAGTTGGATTGTACCAATGCTGGTACCAGGGGGAGGAACGAGGAGAACTTGAGAAATAATATGGGATTAGGAAGGGGCACAGAGGGTTACGCGTATGTGTGTGTGAGAGTAGTATGTGCATGTTGTTAGATGGTTGTGCATGTTGTTAGATGGTTGTGTGTGTGTCTGTGTACATCTCCTTATGTGTGTACCTGAGCTCGGAGCTGGGTGCTGGTCCTCTGGGACTCGTGCAGCTGTGTCTCCAGCTCTCGGAGCAGCTGTCTCTGCAGTGATAGCTGCTCCTGCAGGGTGGCGCTCTTGGCCTGGGCCTCAGCTACGGCCTGCTGAGACTCTGACGACTCCACCTCCACTATCTCAGTCACATACTGGACGGATAGAGAATAGAGAGAGCGAGATAGGTGAGGTAGGAGGAGAGCGATAAAGGTAGGGAGCAGGAGAGAGAGATTGATATCGTAAGATCATCAGGGAACATAATTCAGCAGCAAATGCTCTCGTAACATCCCAGTCATTCATATAACTCAAAAATATTGAATAGGTGGTAAGCTACCAACATATAGCTTACCCATCCTACCATTTCAGATCTATGAGGGACCATTAAGTAACATAGGAGCTAGCAAGGGGTTGTTTTTGAAATGGGACAGTTTTTGCGATTCCTCACCTTGACCTGATGGGGCTGGGTGGCCTGTCTGGCCAGCTCCTCCTCACAGTCCCTGAGCCGGACGCTCAGCTGCTGCTCCACCTCCCCCTGCTGACACTTGGACTCCTCCAATTGCCTCTGCATCTCCCCCGCGTGGCGCTTGGACTCCTCCAGCTGTCGGCTGAGCGTTTCCACACGGCCGGCCTTCTCCAGGACCTGCTGCTCCAGCTCAGCCAGCCTCCTCTCCCTCGGTCTGGCCTGGCTCTCCCAGCGAGACACCTCCCCACGCAGGGCCTCCGCATCCTATATAACACAACATAGTTCTTTTTTTATTATTATTTTTTTACCCCCTTTTTTCTCCCCAAGTTTGTGGTATCCAATAGGTAGTTACAGTCTTGTCCCTTCGCTGCAACTCCCGTACGGACTTGGGAGAGGCGAAGATCGAGAGCCGTGCGTCCTCCGAAACACAACCCAACCAAGCCGCACTGCTTCTTGACACAATGCCCGCTTAACCCGGATGCCAGCCGCACCAATGTCGGAGGAAACACTGTACACCTGGCGACCGGCCCGCCATAGGAGTGGCTAGTGCGCGATGGGACAAGAACATCCCTGCCGGCCAAACCCTCCCCTTAGCTGGACGACGCTGGGCAAATTGTGCACCGCCCCATGGGTCTCCCGGTCGCGGCCGGCTGCGACAGAGCCTGGACTCGAACCAGGATATCTAGTGGCACAGCTAGCACTGTGATGCAGTGCCTTAGACCACTGCGCCGCTCGGGAGGTCCACAACATACAGTTATAATACACCACACACACTTATAACACTGCCTCTTCTCGCTCTCTGGCCTGGTTCTTCCAACGAGATAACTTCCCACACAGGGCGTCCGTGTCCTACACACACAGAGCTAAACTCAGCAAAAAAGAAACAGCCCCTTTTCAGGACCCCGTCTTTCAAAGATAATTAGTAAAAATCCAAAAAGCTTCACAGATCTTCATTGTAAAGGGTTTAAACACTGTTTCCCATGCTTGTTCAATAAACCATAAACAATTAATAAACATGCACCTGTGGAACGGTCGTTAAGACACTAACAGATTACAGACGGTAGGCAATTAAGGTCACAGTTATGAAAACTTAGGACACTAAAAAGGCCTTTCTACTGAAACACCCAAAGAAAGATGCCCAGGGTCCCTGCTCATCTGCGTGAACGTGCCTTAGCCATGCTGCAAGGAGGCAAGATGACTGCAGATGTGGCCAGGGCAATAAATTGCAATGTCTGTACTGTGAGACGCCTAAGACAGCGCTACAGGGAGACAGGACTGACAGCTGATCGTCCTCGCAGTGGCAGATCACGTGTAACAACACCTGCACAGGATCGGTACATCCGAACAACACACCTGCAGGACAGGTACAGGATGGCAACAACAACTGCCCGAGTTACACCAGGGACGAGTCGCGGTTTTGTCTCACCAGGGGTGATTGTCGGATTCGCGTTTATCGTCGAAGGAATGAGCGTTACACCGAGGCCTGTACTCTGGAGCGGCATCGATTTGGAGGTGGAGGGTCCGTCATGGTCTGAGGCGGTGTGTCACAGCATCATCGGACTGAACTTGTTGTCATTGCAGGCAATCTCAACACTGTGCGTTACAGGGAAGACATCTTCCTCCCTCATGTGGTACCCTTCCTGCAGGCTCATCCTGACATGACCCTCCAGCATGACAATGCCACCAGCCATACTGCTCGGTCTGTGTGTGATTTCCTGCAAGACAGGAATGTCAGTGTTCTGCCATGGCAAGCGAAGAGCCCGGATCTCAATCCCAATGAGCACGTCTGGGACCTGTTGGATCGGAGGATGAGGGCTAGGGCCATTCCCCCCAGAAATGTCTGGGAACTTGCAGGTGCCTTGGTGGAAGAGTGGGGTAACATCTCACAGCAAGAACTGGCAAATCTGGTGCAGTCCATGAGGAGGAGATGCACTGCAGTACTTAATGCAGCTGGTGGCCACACCAGATACTGACTGTTACTTTTGATTTTGACCCCCGCTTTGTTCAGGGACACATTATTCCTTTTATGTTAGTCACATGTCTGTGGAACTTGTTCAGTTTATGTCTCAGTTGTTGAATCTTGTTATGTTCATACAAATATTTACACGTTAAGTTTGCTGAAAATAAACACAGAGGACGTTTCTTTTTTTGCTGAGTTTCTAATAGACAGATAAAAAAAAACAGGGTTTTCACAGCCTCTGCCGCACTTGATTCTGCCCATCCCACACCCACACCCGTACCTGGCTGTGGGGGCAGTCAGTGGCTGTGCAGGCCGGTGGAGGAGCCTCCTGGAGCAGTGAGGTCTTGCATGCCTTCAGCTCCTGCTTCAGCCGCTCGTTCTCGACCACCAACAGCTCCAGGTGCTTCTCCAGGTCGGTCGCCCCCTACAGGACAGGAGGAACAGGCACATGTCAGTATCACACTCACAAAGGCACCACACAGAGGGATATAAATACACACAGGAATACATTACAATGTATTCACACACACAGCAATGCACAAGCACTTTTTCTCTGCCCCCCGGACACGAACATCAGGAGACACATACAGATGTACATACCATTGCACTTTGACTTGCCCCCTCTCCCTCACCTCCCCATCTCACCCTCTTACACACACTCTCACTCACATGCAACACCTTAGAATGCCTGTGAAGCAGAAGTGTGTCACGGTGCAATCTTACACCTGGAAGAAAAGGTGTCAGTTATCTTGTGCTCGTCTTTCCCAGGCTTGCCCAAGAATGTAGGCCAGCTGGGCTCTGCACTCATTCTCTCTTTCCATCCCTCCTCTCCCCTCCCCTCACCAGCTCCGAGCGCAGTCTCTCCACCTCCTGGGTCTGGTCTAGCAGCTTCTCCTCCAGCTCCCCCACCTGTGTGCGCAGCGCTGTGATGAGCTGCTCTCCTTCCTGAATGAGACGGTTGCTGTGCTGCTGCTGCTGCTCCTGTGGCTCAGCCAGCCTCTGCACTGCCCTCACACCTGCAACACACACAGTGATAAACACATATACACGCACCAACAGAATTTAAAAACAGACACACACGCCATCCAGCCCCACAGTAGTGGATAATGCATGTTGACAGTCGGTCACAGCCGTGACACACAGCCCTCTTCTTGCTGACAGGCTGGCTTGTGTCAGTACTGTGAACCCCGTCCTGACAGACACACACCATGACGAGACCATTTGGAGTCATTGATTTCACAGTAATTACTGATGTATCAGTCACGACTCCGTCCTTTCTTTACAGCTGCAGTTCTCCTTCCTACTACTCTAATACAGTTCTCCCTTGCTCTTTCTTCCTCCCTCTATCCCCTCCCTCCCTCCCTGTATCCATCCATCTCCCCCCGTTCCTCTCTCACCGTTGGGCAGTGCTGTGTGCGGCTCCTCCTTTAGAGTGCGTATGACGTTAGTCTTCTCCTGCAGACTCTGTTCGTGACTCTGCAGGTGACTCTGCTGCAGTCTCTGCAGCTGCAGACACCGGGAAGCTTCCTCGCTTCGCAGACGCGCCTGGAACTCACACACTTTCTCCTGCAGTGTCTAGACACGTGCACATGCACACATACACGGCAAAGGTCAAAGGTTAGAAGCCAGACAGGTCGTTAACGTCACTATTCCAAGGGAACGAGGATGTGTAAAGGAGGATTGGACCGTTTATAACATCATCCATGTTCACAGGTCCGATCAGAACTGACCCATCCAATCAGTCTATAGGTAAATCGATTTGAATTCAATCACTTTTTGACAGCATCCCTTTTGACTTAAACATTTATTATACATGTTTGCCCATGGAAGAAGTGGTCAGAAAGGGATTCAGGAGATAAAAGGTACTCAAAGTTGACCCATTTTGCAGAACCCACCATACCATGAGACAGACATCCATGTCTTCATCACTGGAAAAGATAAACGGTTGAGTTTGATATCATTTAAAAACAGTGTTGTCAAACAATTGTATTATATATAAAAAATAAAATACGTTATAAAAAAACAACAACCTTAAACGTCATTTATCAACAAACGTGTAAACTCATGACACCCACCCTGTATTCAAGAGTCTCAACCAATGGCGGGCACAACACAAAAACCTTATGTAAAATGGGCTCTAAGCTACAACAAAAAAATTGGAGTTAAGCGTTTTTAGACAATTGACTTGAAAGGTAAAAAACCTGACAACTTGTTTTCCAGAAATTATAGAAGTTTGACAACCCTGTTCGCAAGCTTTTAAATGATATACATCTCAACCGATTATCTTTTCCAGTGATGAAGACATGGATGTCTCATGGTATGGTGGGGTACGCAAAATGGGTCAACTTTGAGCGCACCTTTATCTCTTGAATGTTTTGGCATTCAGGTCCAAAAAGTCACTTTCTGAGCACTTCTACAACGGCCAAATGTGTATGGAAGGTTTTGTTCAAATCAAGAGGTGCTGTCAAAAAGTGATTGAATTCAAATGGATATACCCCTATACCAGTGGTTTTCAAATATCTCCTATGGGACCCCCAGACATTTCACAATTTTGTTGTGGCCCCGAACTAGATCATCTGCACTCACCTGCCAGTTTATTAAGTACACCACCCAGTTTGCGAAAATGGATCGCTCCTACAGACAGTGAGTCACGTGGCTGTAACTTGCTATATAAAGCAGGCAGACAGGCATCCAGTTACTGTTCGATTGAACATTAGAATGGGCAAAACAAGTGACCTAAGCGACTTTGAGTCTGGTATGGTCGCCGGATCCAGTATCTCAGAAACAGCCGCTGAAACAGCATCTCGGAACGCACAACTCGTCGATCCTTGTCACGGATGGGCTAACGCAGCAGACGACCACACCGGGTTCCGCTACTATCCACTAAAAACAAGAAAAGGCTCCAGTGGGCACGCGATCACCAACACTTGACAATTGAGGAATGGAAAAATAGGGCCTGGTCCAACGAATCCCAGTTCCTGTTGTGTCATGCTGATGGCAGAGTCAGGATTTGGCATAAGCAGCATGAGTCGATGGACCCATCCTGCCTGGTGTACTGGTGTGGGGAAAGTTTTCCTGGCACATGTTAGGTCAATTGTGCAACAATTGAACGCCACAGCATATCTGAACATTGTTGCTGACCAAACCCAATACAGCATCTTTGGGATGAGATGGAATGGGCTGTTTGCAGCATGAATGTACCGCCGTCCAATCTGCAGCAGCTGTGTGATGCCATCCCTGTAGAACATTTCTGACACCTTGTAGAATCCATGCCCTGAAGAATTCAGGCTGTTCTGGAGGAATAGGTGGGTCCGACCCGGTACTAGATGGGTGTATCTAATAAACTGGCCAGTGAGTGTAATTCACCTAATCAAGGGTTTGATGATTAGTTGAAGATTAAAATCAGGTGTGCTAGTTCTGGAATAGATCAAATACATTGAACTGCATGGGGTCCCCGAGAAGAGGTTTGCAAACCAATGGTCTATACAAATAGACTCGGATGCAGAGATGAAACTGCTACTCTACCAACTGAAACCACCTACAGCCATACAAATCAGACTAAAGAAACTAAAAGACTAAATACACACAGAGACAGAGAAGAGAGAGAGAGAGAGAGAGAGAGAGAGAGAGAGAGAGCTAGAGACTGTAGAGAAAGTGAAAGAGAGCGAATGAGGACATTACATAGGCAGATGTCCAGGAACAGGACCAGGTGACCTTCTGTGGATGAAAGGGTGATGGGGGGAGGAGAGAGGGATGAGAGGACGTACAGCAATGAAAGGTGTAGAGGGGTGGAGGAAGACAAAGAGAAATGGCAGATGAGATAAAGGAGAAACAGCACAACGATGAACGAAAGAGGAATATGGAGGAAATGCAACGATTTGTTGAAGAGACATCTTTTTGTGTACGCGGGTAAGTTTGCGCGTACGCGTCCAGTTAAAAGCCACGTGTCAAAAGGCACGGACAGCACTGTCATCTTTAATCTGCAAGACCTGTCGCTATGAGACGCCAATGCCATCTTATGAAGTGCTGATGTGAGCTTTATGACTTAGCACTGGGGCTGTCAACGCAAGTCCAAATCCAAGTTACAGCGGCAGATTAGGAAACGCTTGTCACGAGACGCTGGGCAGAACAGTGTAGAATACCCACGCCTGAGGGGTATACTACAAAGTAAGATCAATGACTTAGCCAGCTCACTTTCCTAAATATTCTGAAATAACCTTTTATTTTATAGAAAGATAAGCTTGAAATAGGCATGTCTGATTGACCCAACAACCAAAAACACATCTTAGTTTATCTTTCCTAATGAACCAGAAAATCAGTACTTATTTATGTTTGTTTATCCAAGTTAGCTGGCTAACTCATTGATCCTGGTTTGTAGTATACCCCTCTGTGCTGTGTTCAGTGGGGCACAACATTGTGGAACGTTCCAACGGAAATATACTATGTAGAACAGACATGCCTCTCAGTCATGTGATAAAATAAGGTCTGCTCTATTTGTGACATTTCTACATGCAACGTTCAGTCCGTTATACCCTCCTGAAGGAAGATCTGTTTGTTTTATTACTATAAAGGTATGTGTTGTTGTAACAGTGTGAGCTCTACCCTATGTTACTCCAAATGCTGACAAAGCAACACAATCCTGAACACACATGAAATGAAACCACAGGAGGGATACAATGCAGACACACAAGATTCTCTGTTCTGCAGAGTACATATAGAGTGTACAGGATAATGACAGCTAGGCTGTGTGTGTGTGTGTGTGTATTTGTATTGGTGTGTGTTAGAAGCTCATTAAAACCTGATCGATAAATCGACTGAGTCCCACTCCCCAGGGCTCTTCCTGACCTGAAACCGCCCCCACCAGTTTAGCCAGTGAAACCAGGACAAACCAGTATCATGTTGGGAAAACACCCACCAATATGAACGATACGCTAGCCACATTGACCTAGTTAGTTGAGTATTAGTTGTGTGTGTGCAGTCATCTCACCTGTATGAGTAGCTGTTGGTTGTGGTTGTGCTGGCTGGTTTCTAATTGGTCAGTAGTGGTCAGAGCGGTGCGTTGTGGGAAAGTGGCTGCGGGTAGAGACAGGAAGGAGCAGTCCTCCTCACCATCACTCATCAAGAAGTCCACCGAGCTCGCTACGGACACACGGGAGGGACAAACAAAGTTAGAAACACAAACATGGACTGTACACTCACAGTTAAACACAGTACACAAACAAGCCTCAGCCAAATGGGTTGATTATGTTCTTATCCACTGTGGCAGAGACGATCCTGTATTCACTTGAGTCAGAAAACAGCCTCTATCCCTCTACCCTTTTCCATCTTCTCCCTCTCTCTCCTTCCCTCTCTCTACCTGTGTCAGAGGTAATTTGCTATTGCCCTCTCTTCTCCCCACTTACCTTTCTCCCCCCCTCTCCCTCTACTAACCATTATTCTCTCCTCTCCCCTCAGGCAAGAGTGATTCTAGGCCTCTCTCCCCTATTCTCCCTGCCCAACCTTCCAAGGTTCACACAGACAGTCCCATGGAAACCAGCACAGCTAGATAAGCAGTGTGATAACACAGGAACCAGCAGGTGATGCATTAACTGCATACAGGCCTGTTTACATGTGTGTATGCATGTGTATGGTCACCTGTATGGGGGCCCAGAGTCTTATCAACCTGAGGACAATCAGTGTACTGTACTACTACACTGGGTCTATTAAACACACAAATCAACCCTACAATATTAACCTGTATTAACACACATGCTCACACTCAAACACAGACGTTTATTTCCTAATACACACGTAAGAGCAATTTAACTGAACAAAGCGCCTTATCCATACAATGGATCACAGACTAAGGCAAACACACACCAAGAAAAATACACTTATTCAGGGAAGTTCGGTAACTGATGACACAGCAGATTAAGTCCCACAGCGGAGTCACACACGTACAAAACGTACACACAAACTCACACACCATTAGGACACACATTGTTAAGTATTATACGACCGGACACGTAAAACGCTACCATCCTCTCCTCCTCTCATTCTCTAACTTCCGTTCTCCGTTTCGCTAGCAACACTGTCCCTTTCTCTCCCCTCTCTCTGCCTTTCTTTCTTTCTCAGACAGTCACTCTCTTGCTTTCTTTTCTGCACTAGCACAATCACAGTTCTGCTGCTCCATCGTCACCTTGAGCAGTCCTGCAAGAGCATTAGCGCAGAGAAACACACACCCACAGACAGATGCACACACACACAACACACAATAGGTCCAGTGTTTACACTCCTGGCCCCTGGACTGTGGCTGTAAGGGGATCAGCTTTAAGCTCTGTACCTGCTAGAGACGCACTCCTTCAGCTGAGAGAGGTAGAGAAAGAGAGAGAAGACTGGCACACTCTAACTCCTCACCGCTTTCTCAGACCACTGTCAGACTCTTCCTTTCCCCTCTCCAGTCAGATATAGGAATTCCTTCTCTTCTCCAATATTTCCTGTCTCTCCCAGTTTCACTGAGAGGCACAGCTCATGGGAATGTGTCACACACTCCTCTACTCTTAGTCCCGTCAGACAGGCAGCACACACCTCTCCCATTCCCTCTCATGCTCCCTCCCTCTCTTTGTCATCCCAAAAATGCGGCCACACTGGTTTAGTCCCACCCCTGTGTCACAGAGGGACTCCCTTGCTGCCCAATGGTGTGGGCCTACAGAATCCACTCACCATCCAATGAGACGTCTTTCTTCCAGAGCTCCTGCAGACAGGGGGCGTGGCCAAGGTCCCAGGTCTTTCTTGTTCCGAACATGACCGCAGGGCTGAGCAAAGCACTGGGTCTCTGGACCGGCTAGAGAGAGACAGAAAAAGACAGAGATAGCGTGAGATAGAAAGACAGAGATACTGTACATTTACATTTTTGTCATTTAGCAGATGCTCTTATCCACAGTAGTGAGTGCATACATTTTCATTTTTTTTTCTCTTCATACTGATCCCCCGTGGGAATTGAACCCACAACCCTGGTGTTGCAAGCGCCATGCTCTACCAACTGCGTCAGCCACCAATTGTGCAAGTTCTCCCACTTAAAAAGATGGGAGAGGCCTGTAATTTTCATCATAGGTACACGTCAACTATGACAGACAAAATTAGAAGAAAAAAATCCAGAAAATCACATTGTAGGATTTTTTATGAATTTATTTGCAAATTATGGTGGAAAATAAGTATTTGGTCAATAACAAAAGTTTCTCAATAATTTGTTATATACCCTTTGATGGCAATGACACAGGTCAAACGTTTTCTGTAAGTCTTCACAAGGTTTTCACACACTGTTGCTGTATTTTGGCCCATTCCTCCATGCAGATCTCCTCTAGAGCAGTGATGTTTTGGGGCTGTCGCTGGGCAACACGGACTTTCAACTCCCTCCAAAGATTTTCTATGGGGTTGAGATCTGGAGACTGGCTAGGCCACTCCAGGACCTTGAAATGCTTCTTACGAAGCCACTCCTTCGTTGCCCGGGCGGTGTGTTTGGGATCATTGTCATGCTGAAAGACCCAGCCACGTTTCATCTTCAATGCCCTTGCTGATGGAAGGAGGTTTTCACTCAAAATCTCACGATACATGGCCCCATTAATTCTTTCCTTTACACGGATCAGTCGTCCTGGTCCCTTTGCAGAAAAACAGCCCCAAAGCATGATGTTTCCACCCCCATGCTTCACAGTAGGTATGGTGTTCTTTGGATGCAACTCAGCATTCTTTGTCCTCCAAACACGACGAGTTGAGTTTTTACCAAAAAGTTATATTTTGGTTTCATCTGACCATATGACATTCTCCCAATCCTCTTCTGGATCATCCAAATGCACTCTAGCAAACTTCAGACGGGCCTGGACATGTACTGGCTTAAGCAGGGGGACACGTCTGGCGCTGCAGGATTTGAGTCCCTGGCGGCGTAGTGTGTTACTGATGGTAGGCTTTGTTACTTTGGTCCCAGCTCTCTGCAGGTCATTCACTAGGTCCCCCCCATGTGGTTCTGGGATTTTTGCTCACCGTTCTTGTGATCATTTTGACCCCACGGGGTGAGATCTTGCGTGGAGCCCCAGATCGAGGGAGATTATCAGTGGTCTTGTATGTCTTCCATTTCCTAATAATTGCTCCCACAGTTGATTTCTTCAAACCAAGCTGCTTACCTATTGCAGATTCAGTCTTCCCAGCCTGGTGCAGGTCTACAATTTTGTTTCTGGTGTCCTTTGACAGCTCTTTGGTCTTGGCCATAGTGGAGTTTGGAGTGTGACTGTTTGAGGTTGTGGACAGGTGTCTTTTATACTGATAACAAGTTCAAACAGGTGCCATTAATACAGGTAACGAGTGGAGGACAGAGGAGCCTCTTAAAGAAGAAGTTACAGGTCTGTGAGAGCCAGAAATCTTGCTTGTTTGTAGGTGACCAAATACTTATTTTCCACCATAATTTGCAAATAAATTCATAAAAAATCCTACAATGTGACTTTCTGGATTTTTTTTCCCTCAATTTGTCTATCATAGTTGACGTGTACCTATGATGAAAATGAAGGCCTCTCCTTTTTAGTGGGAGACGAATGGGTGGCTACTCCACTGTACATGGGATTACATACACAGAGAGAGAGACAAGAGCTTGTGGTCAATATTCCCTGTGTTATAATTTCATTGCTATTATTGATTTAATAGGTTCTTGCTTTGGCAATATAAGATAACGACTTGTCATGCCAAAAAAGCTAATTGAAAGTTCAGCAGAAATGTAACTGAAAGAGAAAAAGACCGACAGTACGGTATATGAGAGTGATAGGAGAGAGGAGAAAGAGAGCATGTGTGTGTGTGTGTGTGTGCGCACGCATCTGTTTACACAGTGGGCGGTGGGAACAGCCTTCAGAGTTCATGATAAACACAGGAGAAACGAGAAAGAGATGGACAACATTCCTGCATGACTGACAACCACACTCACAGCCGATACTGGGGTGTATTCATTAGTCAGACACCATTTCCTCCAAACTGAAAATGTTTTGCAACTATTGGACAATTTCAGGTAGGTCCCTCCCTGTTTCATTCCGTTTGCTTCCGATAGGTTCAGCTTGGTTCCTAGTGAATACACCCCTGGTACCAGTTACCTGTTTACTACAGCCACACGAATACTGATCTGGGCCCGGTTTCCCGATAGAACTTAAGCTTACAAGTGTTTTAACGATGCATCGTTCCTATAATGGCCAAATAACTCACATGCGTTTCCCAAAACACCACATAGGGAGAACTTTCACAAAGTAGGTCGTTGGAGCATGTGTCGATACTGATAGGATTGAAAAAAAATGCAGCACTGCTCTCGGATCAGCTTTCTCCATTCAAATCTTACCTTAACATTGGGAATTATTCCACAATACTGACGACGGATCAGCTCCTAGAGAGATATTATCACCTACAGTGCCTTCAGAAAGTATTCACACCCCTTGACTTTTTCCACATTTTGTTGTGTTACAGCCTGAATTTAAAATGGATTAAATTGAGATTGTTTTGCCACTGGCCTACACACAATACCTCAATGTCAAAGTGGAATTATGTTTTTAGAAGAAGTTTTTACAAATGAGTAAAGGTTTCCTTAACAAGGGTTAGGGTTAGGGTTAACTCACTGTGTGCAATAATATTTTATGAATACCTCATCTCTGTACCCCACACATACAATTATCTGTGAGGTCCCTCAGTCGAGCAGTGAATTTCAAACAGATTCAACCACAAAAGACCAGGGAGGTTTTCCAATGCCTCGCAAAGAAGGGAATCGATTGGTAGATGAGTAAAAATCTTGAAAGCAGACATTGAGTAAGTTTACATGCACACTAATAATTCGATATTAAACTGATTATGGCAATAGGCAGATTATGCAATATTCATGCAAACACCTTACTCTGTTTATATTAAATTGGCATATGGTCAAAATCAAAGTAAGCATATGCCAATTAAGCAATCTGAGCAATCTTTCAAATTATTATAAAACACCTTAAAATCGGCATTCCAGCAGTGTATTTGATCTGTGCATGTGCTAGCACCAGCCAAGCGAGCCTCCCTCTTTAGCGTGACTGAAGTGTGTTCAGAACAACTGAATGTATGCGTCTTAGAGGTAGTTTTCACATACAAACTTTATATGTCCGAACTCAGAACCAAACATGTTCGCTGTGGTATAACTTATTTTGATTGGCGATTTTCTGCCATCAGGTAGCCTGATTTCTGATGTGTCCATGTAAATAGGATTATTTGGGAAATTCTTCTTGCAAAGCATGTAAACGTTTTAATCAAACTATTATATTATCTGACTATTCACAATAATCAAATGATTGTGTGCATGTAACCACACTCATTGAATATCTCTTTGAGCATAGTGAAGTTATTACACTTTCGATGGTATTTCAATTCACCCAGTCACTACAAAAATACGTCCTTCCCAATTCTGTTGCCGGAGAGGAAGGAAACCACTCAGGGATTTCACATGAGGCCAATAGTGACTTTAAAACAGTTAAGAGTTTAATGGCTGTGATAGGAGAAAACTGAGGATGGATCAACAACATTGTAGTTACTCCACAATACTAACCTAATTGACAGAGTGAAAAGATGGAAGCCTGTATAGAATAAAACTATTCCAAAACATGCATCCTGTTTGCAACAAGGCACTAAAGTAAAACTGCAAAAAAGTGTTGTTATGCTTGGGGCTAATTCAATACAACACATTACGGAGTATCACTTTTCATATTTTCAAGCATAGTGTTGGCTGCATCAAGTTATGGGTATGCTTGTAATCATTAAGGACTGGGGAGTTTTTCAGGATAAAAAAGAAACGGAATGGAGCTAAGCACAGGCTAAATCCTAGAGGAAAACCTGGAGGCCAAATCTACACTGGAGTTGCTTACCAAGGTGGCAGTGAATGTTTGAGTGGCCGAGTTGCAGTTTTGACTTAAATCTAATTGAAAATCTATGGCAAGACCTACAAGTAGTTGTATAGCAATGATCAACAACCAATTTGACAGAGCTTGAATCATTTTTTTAAAGAATAACGGGAAAATGTTAAACAATCCAGGTGTGGAAAGCTCTTAGAGACTTACAGTGGCTTGCGAAAGTATTCACCCCCCTTGGCATTTTTCCTATTTTGTTGCCTTACAACCTGGATTTAAAAATGGATTTTTTGGGGGTTTGTATCATTTGATTTACACAACATGCCTACCACTTCGAAGATGAAAAATATGTTTTATCGTGAAACTAACAAGAAATAAGACAAAAAAACAGAAAACTTGAGCGTGCATAACTATTCACCCCCCCCAAAGTCAATACTTTGTAGAGCCACCTTTTGCAGCAATTACAGCTGCAAGTCTCCTGGGGTATGTCTCTATAAGCTTGGCCCATTCTTCAAGGCAAAACTGCTCCAGCTCCTTCAAGTTGGATAGGTTCCGCTGCTGTACAGCAATCTTTAAGTCATACCACAGATTCTCAATTGGATTGAGGTCTGGGCTTTAACGGCCATTCCAAGACATTTAAATATTTCCCCTTAAACCGCTCCAGTGTTGCTTTAGCAGAATGCTTAGGGTATTTGTCCTGCTGGAAAGTGAACCTCCGTCCCAGTCTCAAATCTCTGGAAGACTGAAACAACTTTCCCTCAAGAATTTCCCATCCATCATTCTGAACGGTTTCCCAGCCCCTCACGATGAAAAACATCCCCACAACATGATGCTGCCACCACCATTCACTATGGGGATGGTGTTCTTGGGGTGATGGAGAGGTGTTGGGTTTGCACCAGACATAGCGTTTTCC